AGTTCAAGTCCAAGTGTGTCTAGGCAAGAAGAGGCCATCAATCCTCCCCCACCATCCATAGTATATACATGTGCTGCTGATGAAGAAATCAAGGCCCTAAGAGGTTAAGTGAACTGTTCATCACAAGTGTAACTATTATCACACACAGGTCTCCTGGTTGCCAACCTCCAACCATCCGAATGTCATTCTATTTAATTTTGGAATATAATGAATGATTTTCTTTCTACTACTCTGTAGTAGTAGAATCCAATTCTTTTTATTTATTTCTTTTTTAAATGTTTACCTTTGAGAGAAGAGAGTGCGAACGGGTGAGGGAGAGAATCCAAAGCAGGCTCCGTGCTATCTGCGGATAACCTGACAGGGGGCTGAACTCACAAACTGTGAGCTCATGACCTGAACCAAAATCAGAGTTGGACGCTCAACCGACTGAGCCACCCAAGCGCCCGAGAATCCAATTCCTTTTAAAAAGAAACTGGGCTCCTGATGTAGTCAGTGGACTGGTTAGCCAGGGTGAAACTGAGCAGGCGCTGCTTAGTCTCACACCCTGATCTTTTCCCCTGGTCTTTGAGGGTGTAACCAACGGAAGGCCTATTCAGGGAAACAGGACACATGTCACCCACATGACAGTGAAGCAGCTCCGAGTTCTAACTGCCATCAAAGAGGGTCAGATAAGAGGATCAGATAGATGTAGGAGTTGTAAGAAAGCTCACTTCTGTAGCTTTGCAGTGGAGAGCAGGGGAAGTCGGCAAAAGTTAATTTTCAAGAAGAAAGTGTGTATGGTAAGACACAGAGGTAAGAAAGCACACATGAGAAACAGACAGTCGTTAGTGAGGGATGCAAGGTGAGAAAACAAAGGTGTGACAGATATGGAGGGTAGCAGTCTCTCAAGTGCTAGGCTAAGGAACTGGAATCTACCCTGGAAATGAGGTTGTGGAAATGAGTGATATTAAGTCTGAAAGAGCCAAGCTTGAGCCCAGCAACTTTGCTGCCTAGCTTTCTTACCTTGGGCAGAAAAGCTGATCTCACTAAGCCTGATTCCCCATCAGTACAATGGGATGCTACCCATCCTCATAGGGTTGCTAGGGAGATCAAACGAAATAATGCTTTTAAAGCACCTAGTATAGTACCTGGCTCTTATGAAGTATCCAGGAAATATTTGTTGATTGAGTGAAATGTAGAAACAACAGGATTTGGCAACTGAGTGGATTTATGGACGCAAGGGAGGGAGAAGAGCCAAAGATGAGTCAGGTCTCAGGACTGGGTGATCAGAATGATAGTAGCTTCGTACAGGAAAAGATTTTGGTCTTACTGCATATAAAGAATGGTGCTTGGGATAGGAATCAGGATGAGTGGAGTTTAACAGACGGGAAGTAGAACACTGGTAGTTCCTGGAAGGGTCATTAACTAAGTTTGGAAATAAATACAAACTAAAGCTAATTGGCCAGAGTGAGGCATACCCAACAATGAATCTGCATCCCCTGGGCTCACATTAACTGATGTCCAAGGAAGAGGGCGAGACGGGGGAAATCCAGTTTTGCCTACAAGACACTCACACAGAGTATCCAGAGTCATTTCTAATAAATGCCATATAATTTCCCAAGGAAATCAGCCCAGGTGCCTCTACCTTGCTTTGCTGACCTCATCCAAACAATTCAAGGTGGAACCTATCTAGAAGCCTCTCTATCCATGAAACCTACCCCATCCGTCAAGGCCCAGCGACATCCCTGGTTCCTTGTGCTTTCCCAAGTCCTTCCATTTTCCCTCCTATCAAATCTAAGCACTGTCTACATCCCTCAGCTCGTAACCAATCATGGGCTGCTTTAGGACAGCTCTTGATTACTCCCTATTTCAGCACTTTTCAATCGGTGACTTGCCTATGAATAGTCCCAAGTAGAGCCTCGTCTAGAGTTTCCTGAACCTACCATCACAATCACCCAGGAAACATTAAAAAACATAGATTTTAGAGTCCTCATTTCCAGAGGTCAGTTTTTAAAAGCTGCCTGTGTTTCTCATCAGCAAGATTTGAGAATCTCCTGTCCAGAGGGAACATAGGACTTTTTATTCAGAGATGCACATATGCAAAAAATATTTACTGAGTGTATACAGTTTTCCAGCCCACCACTGTATAGTAATGAAATTATAATGACTAGGATTTTCACCTAGTTTAATCTCCATGGCCACCTAGAAGCATGTTCTTGCTGGTTACAAGGCTTATTGTAGTGCCCTGCATATAAAACTACTCTCAGTAATTAATTTATCCAATGAAACTGATTGAGTTTTTTACACACTTATCCTCATTTCTTTGGATATACTAGAGATAAAGGCTGTGTGTTATACTAAAAATGGCCAAACCATCTATCCTCATGCTTTCCCTATGTAGTAAGGACCCAATAAATGCTTCTTTATTTGGCTTTGATTTAAATCCCCTCAATTCTTTAATCTGCCTTTTTTACCTAAAAATAAGGCTATAGGGCATAGTGTAAAAGGCTTTGGCAACAGTCTGAATTCCAATTCTTTTTTTTTTTTTTAATTTTTTAATGTTTTATTTATTTCTAGGAGAGAGAGAGAGACAGTTTGAGCAGGGGAGGGTCAGAGAGAGAGGGAGCCACAGACTGAAACAGGCTCCAGGCTCCGAGCTGGCAGTCAGCACAGAGCCCTACACGGGGCTCAAACCCACGAACCGCGAGATCATGACCCAAGCGAAAGTCGGACGCTTAACCGACTAAGCCACCCAGGCGCCCCCTGAATTCCAATTCTTAACTGGATGTGATCTTGAGCAAGTTTCTTATGTTCTAAGCCTCTGATAATTTATCCATATGACAGAATAGTACTCATGAAGTTGTTGATGAAAATTAAATGAAATAATGTATATAAAGCACCTGAAATGTAGAAGGCACTAGAACTACAGATGGTAGCTCTGAGCCTAAGTTCTTTATAAGTAAAATGAAGTCACTTCTGGTTAAATTTAAATATGAAAATTGGTAATTGCCTATGGCTTGGTACATTTTAAGTCCCATAAGATGTTAAAAATTAATTAACAATGCTACGTCTCTCTTTCGCCATACCCAACCAAGGTCTCTTTCATTTTTTCTGGATTAAGCCCTTTGGGAAAATGGGTTCTTTCTTCCCAGGCTTTTTGGGTGGGAAACACCCAAGGTGAAACCACAGTGCACTAAAAAGGGCCACAGGAGCCCAGAAGGAATGGACAGGGCCCGCAATGCAGCTGTCCATCTCCTGCTGGGGCCCTGCTTCCAGTGAGCAGAAACCAACCACCCTTCTGTCCAGCTGTGTGGACTTTTCATCAGTGGCTGTTCCAGGACAGAGTCCACGATAAACACTTCTCTGGGGCTTCCTTTCAGACAAAGCTCTCTGGAAACCTAAAGCTCCTTGGTCTGACCTTTGGTCTCTGGAGGAAGTGAGGAAATATCCTGTTCTTAGAGAATAGAGGCACCAAGTGTTCAAGAGGCAGGCTTGAGTAACATGGGGGCAGAGATAGAAAAGGAGCCAAGATAAGAGTGTTCCAGGGCATTAATAATTATAATAAAAATAACCACGCTCCTTTGTGGAGGCTTTACAGTTTCAAAAGCCCTTTCACACATTAGCTTACTGGCTCCACAACACAGCTTCGCCCTAAGACCAGTTGGGCAATTACCATCTTCACTTTGTAATTGAAGAGCCTACCCCCAGAGGGATTGCTTGATGTGCCCAAGGTCACACAGCGAGTGAGCTGCAGAGGTGGTCTAGACCCCAGGTCGGCTGCGTCCAGGGCTCTTCCACTAGGAAGAAGGAATGCGACCCTTCTTCCACTACCATGAAAAACCAGAAAAGTGAGGATGAGAGAGAAAGCACATGGGAAGTGTGAAGCATAAAGAAGCCCAGTTTTCAGGGAGGTCACACTCTGTGCTCAAAGAGGGACCGGGGGCGGGCGGGGGGGGGGGGGGGGCGGGGGGGGGGGTCCTAGCACCAGAGCTCAATGTGGGATTCCAGGGCCGTTGGGAGTGAAGGAGCAGATGATAGTGGGAGGGTGAAGGGTGCGAGTGGATACTGGAGGTGTCTGAACAGGAGACAGAAAAAGATGAAGGATTAACGCGAACTTCCTCGGATCGAGACGAGCAGCCCCCAAAACCGGCTGGAGGATGAAAAAGTGGGCTCACACCTCAGTTCAGAACAAGAGCTTTCTCCAATCCAACTTACCCAGTCAAGTTGACCCCTCAGAAGTAGCCCAGAAGGTCAACTGACGGAAACCAAAAACTACTCCGGGGCTCGTAGTCCTTTGGTTGTTGTAGTTTCCAGAACTCACATTGGCGCCGTAAAGCATTCCCCTGTTGTCTGTCCGGAACTACAACTCCCGAGGTGCCTCGCTCGAGATTGTACATTACGACTCTAGAACTACAATTCCTAGAGTTCCACGCGGCCCCTCCTCGTTGGACGAAACCTCCCAAGGTCTGGGATGCGGCGCGATTCCTCCCCCTGGTGGTCTGAGGCGTCGCCACCACGATTACAAGACTCACGCGGAGGGTTACTTCTTATAGTCCCGGTTAGTAACCCTCCGCCTCACCGTTCCTCAAATAATTCCCGGGCGTGCCTAGAAATAGCAACGGCTTCCGTTTTATTCTCAAGGAGTTGAAGGGGAGAGGGAGGGTTGGAGCTTTTTTTTGAGCTTTTTTTTTGGCTCCCTCCCATTTTGCTTCCTGTGAGAGTATGAGACTGATCATTCAAATGAAGCGCACATTTCCTACTCATCCGTAACTTGTCGACAATTGTGATTTTCCATTGTCCTCCAGAAACTCACTGACAGAACAGGGACCAACCTGAGTGATCACTGGTACTGCCCGCCCTCAGCCCAGCCCTTCCATCCGTCATCGCTTTGCTGCGCCTGTGATGGTTCTTAGCGACACGTGGTGAATAAGATACTGTCCGTGGCCTCCAGTGAAATCACAATCTAGTGGAGGAGTTCAACAAATGAATTACAACACAGCCATATGGGCTCTAATGAAGGACACAGTGCGGGGTGTGGGAACCCGGAAAGGGGCACCTGCCCAGGCTTGGGAGAAATGGGATGGTGTCAGCAAGGCTTCTTAGAAATCTATGTTCAAATTAAGAACTGAAGGACTAGGATTTAGCCAGGAGTACAGGGATTGTGAAGAATATTTTACACTCAGGCACAAGAGCGTGAGGGATGCCACATCCTCGAGTCTTGTAAACTTCAGTAAGAAATTTGGATCATTCAAGCAACTTTAAAAACTTTCAACGGCTTCAGACTACTTACTGAACGAGATCCCAACTTCTTAGCTTTGATGCAGGCAGGCAGGGTCCGAAGACCTAAGGAGGGTCCTGCAGGAGTAGCCAAGAGGGTCCTTGGCTCCTCCACTCAGGATGGAAACCAAACTCGAGCCAGCAGGAGGTAAAAGCAGTTTATTGAAGATACAGGAAAAACAGACACAGACAGAGCATCTGGGAGACTCGGAAAGGAAAGGTGCATGAGTCTCGTCTTTGCTTGGGATCTGGGGGATTTATCGACAATTGTGATCTGATGCACGTGTCCTCTCAGACATCCAAGAACTGGTCGGCAAAAGGACAGGGTCCAGATGTCCATCATAAGTCACTCACTCCTTAGAGCCGGGGGTCTTGGCTTCGAGATGTCTAGTGCCAGTGGTCTGGAACATGCACTTGGTGGCTTTGTCCAGTAGTTCCTTAGAAAATATCTATTGTGCTGGAAGACTCCAAAGATATCATTAACTGTCCCTACAAGGAGAACATACAATAAAGCATCCATAGGGTGGGGATGCAGGTCCTAGCAAGAATAGAAGCCCAAAAGAGGCAAAAGGAAAAAAACAGCTTTTTTTCTCAAGAGATCCCTTCGGTTTCCCTGTCTGGACTTGGCATTGGAGATCCTCCTTGACCTGGCTTCCCACTACTTCCCCGGAAGTGTTGCTCATGCTTCTCCAACAGGGATCCCCTCTCTTCTGCTCTGCCTCCTGCTAGATCACCTCCTCGCCATTCTTGAAATGTACCAGGTTTTTGTTGTTACCTGCATGCTTTAAGTCATGCTCTTCCCTGCACTGGGTGCTACCCTGCCCAGTGGCCTGTCTAATCCTGTTCTTCCTTTAAAAGTCCACTAGGTCCTCCTCCCCATGAAGCTTCCCTGATTCCTCCAGTCCCAAAGGACCTCTGCCCATTCTCAGTTGCTGGAATCTTCTTGTGCACCTCTCATTTGGAGGCTTACCTCCCACTGCCTTGTGCCATGTCCTAGGTGGGAGGTCTTAACTCTCCAAGAAATTGTGAGCTCTCAGAGGCCAGGTGCTGAGTCCTACAGGTGACCCCCTCCCCCCATCTCACATACCCTCAGATCACCAGGGTCCAGAGTCCCTGTTTTAGGTTTCTTTAGGCTCACGTCTGCTCCAGACACGCTGTCACCACCACCATCCTTCCAGGAGCCAAGATAAACTCATCAGGAAAGAGTGATGGTAGCCCCGCACTGTGGTAATTAAGTCCTGGATTTAATTAAAGTTGCGGTGGGTGGCACTGACAGCAGAGTATAAAAAGCTTAGGGCAGATCCTAAAATGTTCTCTTTGGCGTTAATTAATCAGTGCTCTGCAGCTGCCCCAGCAGAGCCACGACTAACCAGAGTCCCTAATCCTGAGAGGCGCAGCTCACACCTCCTGTGTCTCCAACTCCCAGACCAGGCCGTGGAGAGTATTATTTGCTGGGCAACTGACTTTTAAACTTCCCAGGGACAGAGACGTCACAGCCTCCTTTACCTCTTTGGCCACTGTTAGGAAGATGTCTTGGGCCCAAACTCCTGTTGCAAAATGAAATACTTGAGTCCAATTGCATTTCCTTCTAATCTAGCCTTTTCTGGGATAAACAACCCAAATGATTTAAGTTTCTAGCAAGCATTTGACTTTCTAGGCTTTCGTCATAGATCCCGTCCTCCAGTGGCCCAAGTTTCCCTTCCAGTTGGCCACCATCTCACTCTAGACTTCTCCTTGTTGCCAAGTGACTGAACTGGTATTTAGGTGACTACTTTGGATTTCCTGTTAGCCCCCCCCCCCCAACCTGCTGAAGTTTTGGACAGCACTTTTTTAAATCAAACTATAATATGTATACAATAAAATGTGTAAAGTGCACTAATATTAAGTGTACGGCTTAATCCTTTTTCTAAAAAATTGGTGTAACCATCACTTAATTTGACATGTGAAACATTTCCAATACCCCAAAAGATTGTCTCATGTTCCTTCCCAGTTTATAACCACTCATCTCCCAAAGGGAACCACTATTTTTTTTTTCTATCAGCATCAACTAGTTTGGGGTAAGCAACATTTTGTAACTTTTGACAGTGATTTTTTTTTTGGTTTGTTTATTTTGAGAGAGAGAGAGAGAGAGAGAGAGGCAGAGAGAGAGGGAGAGCGTGAATCCCAAGCAGGCTCCATGCTTTCAGCGCATAGCCCAGTTCAGGGCTTAAACCCACAAACTGTGAGATCATGACCCAAGCTGAAATCAGGAATCGGATACTTAACCAACTGAGCCACCACGGCGCCCTGACAGTGATATTTATGCTCAAGATTCATCATTGGACGATACCTGTGTTGATGCCATTGCAGTAAAAGACCACCAGAATCACAGCTGTCATTGAATAAATTGGACACTCATTGCAATGAGAGAAAGCATACGTGAAAAGGCCATCTCAGAAGGAGAGGTATCAGAAAAGACTTAGAATTGGGGCTTTTGTTAAATGATTTCAAGGAGGCTTGAAGGAAGCAGGGCTTTGCTCTGGCTTGGATGCTGTCTGAAAGTAGAGGTGATTCTATGACCAGGGATCTTAATTTTATCTAGGAGGGGAAGAGTTCAGTAGTTCAGTAAAGTAAAAGCTGTCATTAGTAAGAAGCAGCAGTCTCTTTTGTTAGCCAGAATAGGGAATGGTTGATGTTTTTTTGTGGCTTGGACAATGTCCATATTTTTTTCAGACATGATTGTGGAGTGGTTCTGTTTGTATCTTGGTCCATCAGGGACACAGAGTGGCCTTGTCTGATTCGGATGTTCTATGAAATTGTTTCTGTTCAGCTTAGGTCACCAAGGCTCAAGTGTGAGTCCCAGAACAGCTTCTGAAGGTCAGGGGCTGCTTTCCTCTTGCTTATATACCATCATATGTTGTCGTCTGCTCTGGGCTGGGTGAATAGAAATTATTTGCCTTTGTGTCCTTAGGAACCTCATGGCCGGTCAGGAAATGGACAACAGAACAAATATATACCATTGGAAAGCACAGGGTCTGGGCCCCGGAGGTAAGCTACAGACTTTAATTCCAGATGTACCACTTTCTAACTGAAATCTTGGGCAATTACTGTTTCCAGGCCTCAGTTTCCTCATCTATAACAGGGACAACAATAGCATCTACATTATAGAATTGATGCCAGGATCAAACGAGCTAATCGACAGATCACTGGGTACTTAAATAGGTTGGATCTGGTAGGGGACAGAGGTGGATGCAAGTTTTGTGTCTTGAAGCTCATAGAATTCGAGGAGAACCTCTTTAAAAAGAATTTTAAATATGTTACTTTTTCAAAATTTGGGGGTTTTGTTTTTTTTAGTTTTTTTAATGTTTATTTATTTTTGAGAGAGAGACAGAACACAAGCGGGAGAGGGGCAGAGAGATGGAGACACAGAATCTGAAGCAGGCTCCAGGCTCTGAGCTGTCAGCACAGAGCCCAACACAGGGCTCGAACTTACAAACCATGAGATCATGACCTGAGCCAAAGCCAGACACTCAACCAGCTGAGCCACCCAGGTGCCCCATTGTTTTAAAATTTGTAAAACATGTGACCATATGAACACATTGCTAGATACCCTCCCAGGGCCTTGGAAGGGACTCTGAAGCTTAAACTGTATTAGCTTCACTATAACTCTGACCTTGGGAAGAGACAAAATTATGCAATATCTTCAATCTTTTCAAATCACTGCTTTCAAACAAGCTCTCCCAAAACACCCTTGTCCTGGCTGAAACCTCGAGTACTCTTAGCTCTTTCTTATATCATAGCCTGGAAGTTCGTAGGCTAGCGTTCGAGGAAGGGACTTGGGTCCTGCTCTGAATATAGCTGTGCCTACTATTTTCAGCATTGGGCCCCAGCTGGAGTCCAGATGAATTTGGCAAGATCTTTAACATCCTGTTAACAGATAGAGTATATACTTAATAAAGTATTAAGTATAAAGTCTTCAGGAGTTTACTTGGCCTTGGCAACGGCCTACTTCCCAGAATTTCTCATCAAAAATGGTTCTTGGAGGCTAAGCCAGTTCAGGGATGCCCAGAGGCCAATAAAGTCCTTCTCTATTATTATTAATATAATAATTCTTCCATTCAAAAATTACTGCATATCTATTATGTGGCAGACACTGTCCTCAACACTGGAAATCAAGTGGTGCATCTAGAGATTAATGCCCTACCCACATGGTGCTTTCATTCTAGTGGAGAGAGACAGATAACAAACATATATAACCAAGATAATCATATGTTATGTTAGATGCTCTACAGGAAACAGACAGGATGCTTTGATGGAGATCAATAGAATGGTCAGAGAAGGATTCTATGAAGATAGGGCATTTGTGCCGAGCTCAACCATACCTACCCTTTCTTGATTGTTTACTATGTGTCAGACATGTCACATGTCTGACATTTCCAATACTTTATGTCATTTAATCCTCCTGGGAAGTATATCATGGTCTTTCTACTTTTCAGACAAGACAGAGGCTCAAAGAGGTAACAGCAGTGTTAATGCCGGCCTCATCTCCCCTAATCCCTTCTCTGAGTTCTGATTGCCACTGCGGTACTTTGCAGCACACCTGAGGGCCCCTCCACCCAAAGCCCAGCTTCTGCTTGCTTCCTTGCCGGAGGGCTTTCTTAGGCATCAGTGAGCCAGGAAGGGGAAGGGAGCGGCTGTGTTCCATACCCCAAGGGCAACCTTCAGCTATCAAGGAAGTTGGTGCCTCCCTATCCTGAGCTAAGGTGATTTTGAGGTGCATTTCACACAGTCTTTCAGAGAGGCCCTGGGGACACCGAACCCAGTGGCTCCTGGAAGCAAACCTCACATGAACAAGCTCCCAAGCCCCGGCCTGTATTTATTAGCTTTTCTCCACTCCTGGACTCACCTCCTCGGCGCCTTTACTTTTGCTTCTTGATATCACTTCTCAAATAGCCTACAAGTACCTAAGTCTCAGGGTCTGTTTTTTTTTTTTTTTAATATTTTTATTTATTTCTAGGAGAGAGAGAGAGAGACAGCGTGAGCAGGGGAGGGTCAGAGAGAGAGGGAGACACAGACTCCGAAATAGGCTCCAGGCTCCGAGCTGGCAGTCAGCACAGAGCCCGACGCGGGGCTCGAACCCACGAACCGTGAGATCATGACCTAAGCGAAAGTCAGACGCTTAACCGACTAAGCCATCCAGGCGCCCCTCTCAGGGTCTGTTTTTGAGGGGACTCAAGCTAAGACAGAGCCGAAATGACTTTCCTAAGGCCACCCAACCAAGTGGCAGAACTGCAATGTGAATCTGGGTTCACATGGTTCACACTCCACAGTCCTTACCGCTGTGCCCCATAACAATGAGCCTGAAGATGAAACCCAAGCCCCTCTAGCCCTACCCCAGGCCCCTCCCATCCTGACCTCTCCTGCCTTGCCCCCAGACTCCTCATTCGCAGCCACCTCTTGCTCCAGACACAGCTGACTGCTTGGGGACATAGCGTTCTCCCATCCTGCCATGCCTTGTCAGCCTCCGTGCCTTTGCAAGTGCTGTGTCCTCTGCTGAAACACATGTTGAGCCCACTGTGGTCCATCCCTGTGCTCTCCACCTGACGAACTCCAGCAGTGAGTGGCTGGCACGGATAAGAATCACTTTTGTGTCCAATGCTCGGCATGCATGCTCTTAATCCACTGATACCATAATTCTGAGATGTTAGTAGTGCCATTCTCAGTTCGCACGTCAGGAAACAGGGTTCACGGAGGCCAGATGACTTCCCCAAGGTCTTATAGTTAATGACTGGCAAAGCCAGGACCAAAACCCAGGTCTACCAGTTTTGCTACTATGCCTTGTGTCCGGCATGAGAGAACGGGTAAGCATTGAGGTCACTGAGGTTATTCCAACATCTTCCCTCTGTCAGACCTAACTCTACAGCTAAAAGGACATCCCTCAAGGCAGTCACCAGATCACCTGGCTGAGAGGCACAGGGACGATGGAGCCCAGAGTAAGAAGGCCAGGCTGAGGGGGCTTCCTGCAAAGGAAGGGGCTGGGCATCCGGCCCACCCGCACCTGGGAGGGGAAAACTGGTGAAGGCATCACCCTTTCCTACTTCCTGGCTCCTTCTATGTCTTCAGGAGTTTACTTGGCCTTGGCAATGGCCTACTTCCCAGAATTTCTCATCAAAAATGGTTCTTGGAGGCTAAGCCAGTTCAGGGATGCCCAGAGGCCAAAGAGGTTTAATTCCCACTTTCAATTTTTTTCTTCCTGGCCCCCAGCCTTGTTATCAAGGCCGTCAGATGTCTGGTAAAGGCTCGCCAACCTGCAGAACATGAACTGGCCTGGTAGGTACCAAGTTCACGGCAGGTTTGGGAAAAGGGGGTTGGGTAGGGGTGGAGCCCTTACTAGCAATGCCATGCCAGTCCTTACTTAAAATCCTTTTAAGGCTTTTGGCCTCCACAACTAAGCTCGCAGTCCTTACCGGAAGCTCTTCACGATCTGAGTCAACTTCCTTCAGCCAGTCAGATTCGTTCTTCCTTCTGCAAAGTGACCGCCTGGTCCCCGCATGTGCTCAGCCACCTCCATGTGTTTCTGCTGTTTCCATTTGGATCTCCTGCACCATTCCCAACTGCTTCCTGTCCCATCTTCCAAACTCAGCAGAGATGTCACTTCCTCTGGGGAATCCTGGCTGAATTCTCCCTGTGCCCTGGGGTGCTCCCCTAACACACGCTGACATCCTTGTGACAGGTCTGCCTTCCCACCCAGCCAGGGACTGCTTGAGGACAAGGATGCGGCCTTATTCACCTCCACGGGCCTGGCCCAGCTCCTGGCACAGTTGGTTAAGAGAATGAGCGAATGAGCAAGAGACACCCAGAGCAGGGCTTGAAACAGGAGTGCCTTTGGGATCCAAGCAACTCAAGCGAGTTGGTGTAATATGATAGGGAGCAGAAAGGATGCTGTGAAACTGGACAGAGTGACTTGCCTACAGGAATTTGAATCTGATGAAAGAAAATGCGTGAGTGAAATTCAGCCCCTGTTACCAACAACAGCAACAGCTAATTATGAACTTACTCTGTGCCGGGAAAGAAGGTACAGTGGCTCAGAGTGTGGACTCTGGAAATGGACTGCCAGGTTTGGGTCCCAACCCTCCCACCTGTTAGCTGTGAGACTTGGGTCATGTCACTTAACTTCTCTGAGCCTCACTTACCTCACTTGCAAAATGGAAATAATATTAACACCTACCTTATGGAGTTGTAGTGAGGATTCAAAGAGTGAAGACCTGGAAAGTAAATATGGGGCCTGGCACACGGAAAACACCTAGGAAGCACTACTATTATTATTCCATGACGGCCAGTGTTCAGAGAAGGCCTCTCCATGAAGGCGACATATCCACAGAGCCCTGTGTGCTGGAACCCTTGCTGAGCTCTGGGAGAAGATTGTTCTAGGAAGAGGGAAGAGCCAGGGGAAAGATCCAGCAAAATGGCTTTGCTGGGTCTGAGGAGTTGAGAGAAGGCAGTGGGCTGGAGTGCAGTGAGTCAGAGAGGAGGGCTGGAGACCAGGCCTGCATGGGAGGCAAAGGCCAATGTAATGATACACACACACACACACACACACACACACACACACACACACACGAAATTTGGGTGGGCCTGGACTAGGTGGGGGCAGGAGCTGGGAGCCAGGCTACTGTCAGGGTTTGTTTCGAGGTAGGGCCAACGGGACCGGATGGACATCTCATGAAGATGCTGTTTGGATTGCAGGAAGCAACTTGCAAGGGGCCCCTCCTGTCCTTATTGCCGAGTTTCACGCCTGCATTTCCTCCCCCAGTTATGGCCTGTACTATCTCACGCTTCTGATGTTAATGAAGAGACTCTAGGAAATGATACTTCCAGATTAGAGATGGAAATAAAGTGTCTAACACCGTGCCTGGCACATAGTAGGTAATCAACAAATAAACAGTTCTTTTTCCTTCCATAACGGAAAGTATAAAGTCCAGCAGGTCTAATGTCAGACAGATCATGGTTTGGTCCTGGCTCTATGATCTACTAGCTAGGTGACCCTAGACAAGTGATTTCATCTCTCTGCATCTCCTTTCCCTAATCCAGAAGCAGAGATGCGAGCACTAGCTCTTCGGGTGGTTGCAGGGATTAAATGAGGTGATAGAGGGAGCCCAGCCCTTGCATGCGCTCCCATCAATTACAGCAATAATAACCTTGTGTTAAGGAATGTCAGTCTGGGCCAGGTTTCCCGAGGTGGGGCCAAGACTCCCAGAGAAATGGTACTGAGCCCCCTTCATCCCCTCCTTGAAGCCCACCTCCGGGCCAAATTCCTGCCCCTAGCTCCTAGTCCTTGCTGGGCACCTCCTCAAAGAGCCAACAGAAAGCTGTGTTTACTCTGCCAAGCGGCATCCCTGGGGAGGGAGGAGAGGAGAAATAAATCTTCCTCCCTTGGCTTTGAAAAGCAGGCCGTTAATTACCTGGGGTTCCAAGCAGCCCAACCGCTATGTAAACACTTGCTAAGCTGGCCTGTCTATTAACCCCTTGGCACCCAGGGCTGAGGTGGAGGATTCTGGGTGTGGGCATCTCTGGGAGGGTCGAGGAAATGAGGCAGCTGGGCATGGCTCTGGAGCCTTCTGAGAGGGACTAATTCAAGTGAAACACTCAGGAGGGTGGAATGGAATGACTATGACCGGGGTTTGAAATTTCCTTTACTTGGCCTGTCCAGTCCTGGCCAGCTGTCCCCCAGCCCCTACTCCAACACCCCTGTCCCAGGAATACAGGCCCCAAAGGAGTAGCCAGGACTGAGAGGTCAGCCTGCAGTTTCAGGCAGGGACGGTGTCCTGTTTGTGAGTGGCTAGACCAGAATGCCTGCTTACCTCAATCCCCTCTGGCTTTCTCCAGCTAATAGACACCCAGCCAAGAGAAGCAGAGAGCCATCTCCCAGGGGCAGAGGTCCCAGACCCTGGGCTGTGTCTATGTGTGGCTGGTTAGAGGGTATCCTTGGCTGATCATAATTATTCACGTGTGCACATGTCTGTCCAGTTTCTGAGCACTTTCTCACGTGTTGTCTCCTTCAGCCAGCTCCAAGATAAACCTCTGAAGCAGGAATTAGCCCCCTGTGAAGCAGTGGTTCAAATCTAGGCTGGTACTCACTGGCTGTGTAGCCTTGGGGCAGTCACTTCACCTCTCTGAACCTCACTAATGTCACCTCTTCAACGGGGAGAACAGACGCCCATGCTGGCAGCTTTACTATGAGGCTCAAATGCAATCATGGATTCAAAGAGCTCAATAGTGTCTGGCACATGGTGAGCAAATGCATGGCCCCTCCCTTGAAGTTCCTTGAATTTCTCTCTTGAATTTTACAGAAGAGTAAATTGAAGTTCACTGAGCAATCAAATTATAATCTTCCAAGTGTTAAAAAAAAAAAAAAAAAAAAGATCACACCAGTGCATAGCGAGTGTGCGTCAAAGTCGTATTTCACTCATTTATAAGGAAACTATAGGATGGAGCTGGTTCAGGGATCTTAGTGAGGATTAGAGATAAAGCACAGAGAAGGCTGCAATAAGATTGCTAGTCAGATTCTAACCCAGCAAATACCCTACAGGGCATGATTTATACCCTTTGGAAAGATCTCTACTGGTCAGAAATCATTGGTATTGCTATTTGTATTGTTATTTGTGTCTTTTGTGTTCTACAACTTAGTGTCTTGGCTATGATACTGATAAAATGTCTGGTTCTGAAGACATAGCGGGCTTTTGGGGGCTTCTTGGATGAGGCCCCAGGGGAATGCTGACGGTTCACACAGTCTCCTCATTGCCTCGTCTCCAGGTTTTGTATATTTTTCCTTACAAAGTCAAGTGTTCATAGGATGGGAAAAGGAAGGACTGGCCTCCCAAACTTCCAAATGATTTCTGGGTAAGAATTCCAGGTCTTTTTGCTCTTAATAGCTAGTCCTATTCCTATGTTAGGCTGATGGTAAGAAATTGGGGTCCGGGGGCACCTGAGTGGTGCAGTCAGTTAGGCAACTGACTTTGGCTCAAGTCATGATCTCACAGTTTGTGAGTTCAAGCCCAATGTCAGGCTCTGTGCTGACAGCTCAGAGCCTGGAGCCTGCTTCAGATTCTGTGTCTCCATCTCTCTCTGCCCCTCCCCTTCTCGTGCTCTACCTCAAAGAAAAATAAACACTAAAAAAAATTATAATAAAAATAAAAAAGAAGAAGAAGAAACTGAGGTCCAGAAAAGGGGTGTGACTTGTCCAAAGTCACACAGCTGTACCTGGGGGAGTGGCAGAGGCCAGAGCCTGATTTCACTGACTCCCATCCCCAGATCCCCTGGGCAGCTTCCATGGTCCCGCCCCAGGTCTGGGTTCCAGGTCTGAGTTCTCCACGATAGGCCAGAATTGCTTTGCATCTTGGTGGCGCCTGAGGGGGGAAACCCGCTTTAGCTGGAGCTGGATCGAGATATGAGTCCTGTGGGGAATGGCCATTAGGGGCTATCTGTGCTCCAGCAAGTGAGAGCTGGGACCCTTGAGCCTCTCATGGCCTCCAGCCCCCAACACTTGTGAATTCTGCAGTGAGACACCCAGAAAGCTCAGGGCTGGAGGAAAAAACAGCAACAGACAAGAAGCAGCAGATGGGTTGCCATGGTGATCACCTCCTGGAGCTCCAAGCATCTTGCTTTCTGAACAGAGATGGAGGTGTAGCCAGAAGAACATGGGCACAGGAGAGAAAGCCCAAGTCCTAGCCCTGATCCACCCCAGAGGGACAGCTTGGTGCATGCCGACTCACCTCCCCCTGGGTTGGAGGAGGGCATAGGAGACCCATTCGTTAGGTGCCTGCTTTGTGCCAGGCATGGCGTGTTGAAGGTTGTCCATTCGTGATCTCATATAATCCTCTTCCCGGGAAGCCTTTGAGGAGTATGCTCTTATCAGCATTGTAGAGAGAGGGAAACAGCAGCACAGGGAGGTGAAGTAACTTACACAGGAACATACAGCTTTTAGGAGCACCTGAGCCAATGCTCCAGACCCCTTTCTCTTGGAAGACTAGCTACATTCCACCTAGAAATTTCAGGTCCGTTCCAGAGAAGGAAAGATGGGACGGAGGCAGAAGCAGGGTGCAAAGAGGGAATACTCCAGATCAAACACAGTGATGTTAGCCCCCACTTTCTGCCTGGGCGCTTGGCCAGTGTGTTACCTGGCGCCTCGGGCAGGAAGCAAGCCCACACTCAGGCGGCCCCCGGGCTGTGTGATGCCGTTATGGCTACGAAGCCAACACTGCTGTGCTCCGGCTCTGGGATCCATCCAGGGCTCCTCTTCGTCTCCAGTGCACATCAAAGCTGCTTCAGCCCTGTAGGAAACAAGAGTGCTGCCTTCTCCCAGAAGCCTCCCCACGCCCAGGCCTTCTCCAGAGCCAGAGCCGAGGCCTACTCCTTCTTCCTCCTCACTGCTGCCCCTTTCCTCCTGCCCTGTCCCACCCCCCTCTCCCCAAAGTGTTGGCTACTGTGCCATTGATCAGAGCCCAGCTATAGGACGGGAGCTCCTGGTGCCTTCGATGAGCCTGGAAGAGCTTGGTGGAGGGCCCAGGGCTTGGGGCAGAGCCCAGCTGCATATTTTTAGCATGAGCCCAGCTCAGTCCTGTCTGCCTGGATCCCTGCCTTCTCCTCCTCCATCCAAGCTGCAGGGCAGCCCTGTGAATCACAGGCCAGATGAGGCCAGGGCCCGGCCAGCCTGTGAGCCTCCCTTGCAGACCCGAAGGTAGGAGTCAGCTTGTATGTGTTGGCAAGTGTGGACTCAGGCATGAGCCAGCCAGGGTGCCCGGGGCTGGGGGTGCAGGAGCAGTCATTCCCTACCAAGCCCCTCACCAGCCGGCCCTGACCTCCAACCCTCCCAGGTATGTCTGCCCTTCCATTCATTCACTTATTCAACAAGTATTTGTTGGACATTTATGATCCTAGTGCTGGGATGAGGCGCGTGAACGAGGCTGAAGCCTGAGAATCGAACTCCTGACCTTCTCCCCCAGATCGGCTCCCCACTCAGTCTTCCCCATCCCCACTGAGGGCAGCGCCATCCTGCCCGTGGCTCAGGCCAAATCTCACATCCAGCCCATCACATCTGTCATTTTGCGCTAGCTCGAAATACGCCCGGAATCCAACTACTTCTTACCCCTGCCACCCCAGTCCTAGTCACCGTCACGGCTCCCCAGAGTGGCTCACCTGGGCCACGGGGCTCCCTGCTTCTGTCTCTGGCCCTACACCAGCTTCTTCCCTGAGGTCCAAGAGGTGTCACAGACACAAGTCAGACCATGCCTCGCACGTCGCATGCACACACACACACACACACACACTCACCCCAACCTGTGCCCTGGCTTCTCCCCTGCTGCTGGAGTGACCAGACCTTGCACACACTTTTCACTGACTCTCTCGCCTCAGATGCCAGATTTTCAGCCAGCCTTCCCTGCTGGTCCCACGTAACCCTGCGGTTCCTCCCCTTCTCTGGATTTGTGGCCAAATAACAGGAGATATTTTATTTATTTTCACTCATGGCCAATCTCCCCACCCTGGGATGTGAACTCCATGAGGGCAAGATTCTGTCTGCTTTGTTCCCTGCTTCTAGATCCCGCCTGGCCCACAGTGAGGGCTCCTTAAGTAGTTGTGGAATGTGTGAATGAATGAACCTTAATAAAAAGCGGTCCCTGCCTCCATTCTTGCCATTTCCTGTCTGTCCCCTTCTGGATAGCCACAGTGGTTTTTCTTAAAAAAACAAAAACAAAAACCAAAAAACCCCATACTTTTTCCTTCAAGTCTTAGGGTAGGAGTCACTGCCTGAGATGACTGCTCTGGAGGGGGACCAATCCTGGGAATCTTTGAGAGCATCTTACCCTGCATTGGGCAGCCCGTCTGTGCCCTCCCATAGTCCCCCCTCCTTGGTCTGTAATTGCCTGCTTCCTGGTCTTTCTCAGGGAAGGTGTGGTTCTGCAAGAATGGGGGTGTACCTGTCTCAGGACACAGGTGCAATGGCTAAAGGACTGAACTGATTGGGTCCAAAGCCTGGCTAAGATGTAGGAATTTAGGCCAGCTACCTGATTGTCTGGGCCTCTGCATTCCCATCTGTAAATGGGGATGATAACAGTACCTTCCTCAGAGGATTAAATGAGCTAATACACTTGCACTTAGAGTTGTGCGTGGCACACGATAAGCATAATATGAATGTTAGCTGTTATTGTTCTTTGCCTGGCACAAAACCTGGCCCATGTTTAGTATTCAATAAGGAATTGTTGGATGAATGAATGAATGAATGAATGAGTACCGGGATAGAAGGATGAAGAAGCGGCACGAGAACATAGAGGAACCAGATGGAGCCCGAGGAAGGTCAGCAGGCTCCCTGCAGGAGGGGAGCCTTTGGCTGATTCCTGTCGGGTGGGGTGGAGTTAGCTGAGCAGCAGCCGGCAAGGGCAAAGACCTCTGTCCTGTGGGAGAGCCTGATGCATGCAGGGAAAGTCAGTCCATCCCTCAGTGACAGACACTGTGGGCAAAGAGGCTCCCATGTTGGCTATTTTGAGGACGTTCTTGGGAGACTGAACTGTGCTCTTCCCTCAGACCAGCTGCCCAGGGAGGGCAAAACATCCCCTGGCAAAACATCAGATGGAAGGAAGGCCAGCAAGGAAAGGAGGCTGCCACTTGCTGAGGGACCCCATGGGATAGGCCTGGATTTCACCTGCCAACCATCTCATGGTGAAGATCTCTACTTCCATCTAGACATAAGGGGACAGAGGCCCCACATCATCCAGCTGTTAAGAGGTAGAGGCAGTGTTCACTCCAGGTTGGCCGGTTTCCTGCGGCCTCCCTCATCAGACTGCGGTTCCTGGCAGCCAGGGTCTGCGTCTCCCTCTTCACCTCGGTGATTCATCAGTGGGTGACATCACCCATTCCTGATTCCCCTTTCAGGGCACAGACCAAGAAACTGAGCAAGAGAATCCCTCAATGGCTGTGGACTAAGAGATAGTCAAGTTCAACCTCAGGTATTATATGGACTGGAGAATGAGCATCAAGACCTTCCCTACAGAGCTCCAGACAAGGGCAGACCTGGGCACCTGTGAGGGGTACCAGGAGTGGGTCCAAAAAGGCTGCAACTAGATGAGATGGGGGGGGGTTGTTGAAGGAGGGGAACCGATCCTGGGAATCCTTGAGAGCATCTTACCCAATCCCACCCCCTCCATTCTACCCCTGCCTTCCCCCATCACTTCATGCTTCATTTTTCTCACCTGTTGACTTTCTCATCGCTGATTTATGGACCCCCCACAAAGATACCCCCAGCTGGGGTGACCAGCGCGAAGCTCTAAGGAGTAGGGACAGGACTTCAGGGTTCAAACCTCATCCCCGCCCTGTCATATCTTAGCCAGCTGAGGAAGATACCACTCCCCTTCTCTGAGGTTCACTTTTCTTCGCTTGTAAAGGATGACAACCTCTTAACCCTCTTCTTTGGAGGCTTGATATGTGACTTCAGAGACTCAGGCTGTGACAGCTTGAGGCCAACTGTGAGGTGCGCGTCCTGCCGCTGAGGATTATGGGCCATCAAAGAAACTGGTTTGGAAGGGGTTAAGCCGAGACCCTGCCTCCCAGGCAGGAGCCAATTGGGGCTGTCAGGGGAGGAGCCAGGCTGGGAAATAGATCTAGCCGGGCCAGATGCAACCCGGAGAGGGACCGGGAAAAGACACCGACACCGGCGGGGCTGGGGACCGCCATGGGACAGGGGCGCGGGTCAGGGTCCCTGGCCTCTGCACCGTGATAGCTCCAAGCCAGAGGGTGCAGGACCAGCTGCTAGGTGTGGGGGAGGAGGGCCAAGCTCCCTGAGCTGGGGTACAGCGGCAGGGTAGGAGAAGACTCGGACCCAGAGCACTCCCAGCCCCCCAGGCAGAGGGCAGTGCTGCAGCCCGGCCTTGACCTCAGCTGACCCTGAGAGCCCACATGGGGTGCAGGGTCTAATTTTAGCTCCAGCCACTGGGCCCACAGCCCAGGAGTGCCCGCCCAGTGGGCACAAGGAGGCAGCCAGGGCTACTCAGGGGCCGCTTGGGCAAGGGGAGGACTGGGGAGGTCAGCCCTGCACCCTGGCCAAGCCACCTCCTTTGAGAGCCCCAACGGGTCCCCCATGGCCTGGCAGACTGCCCACCTCTCCTTTGAGGCCAAGGTCAGGGGGTGCAGCCAGGAGGACAGAAGGCCACGGCCTTGCAGTGTGGTCAGGGGTTGCGTCAGCCTGAGCAGTGCCCAGGGGCAGGGGCCCCTGCTGGGAGAGGGCAAAGGCTGGCGTGGCTGTCCGCAGGCCAACGAAACAGATTCCTGACTGCAGGAAGGCAAGGCCAGAAAGCCAGGTCCTACCTGGACTCCCTGCGCCTGGCCGGTGACCTGCCGTTTGACCTTACGTAGGCAGTCTGCTCTCTCCGTGGGCCTCAGTCTTCCCATCTATACAATGAAGGCGCTGACCTAGAAGGCTGATTCCAGCTCCACCCTCAAGCCCCTGCTCTTGCTTTCCCCCAGCCCTGGCTGCGGGTGGCCACATGCAGTCGTGGAGAAGAAGGTCCCTCTGGCTGGCACTCTCGGCCTCTTGGCTCCTCATCCTCCTGAGAATCTTCCCCCTTCTCCGCCTGGTGGTGCCTGCCGGACCTTGGGCAAGTGCCCCCCAAGGCTGGCCCCGCTGGCTGGATGCAGAGCTCCTGCCGAGTTTCTCCCAGCCTGGGGAGCTCCCAGAAGATGCCTCGCAACCTCCTCACGCCCCCCGTGGCGGCAGCTGCAATTGGGGGGCTTGCTTTGATGCCTCGAAGTGCAGGGCTGGTGGTCTCAAGGTATTCGTGCACCCGGTGGCTGGACCTCTCTCTGCCGCTCACCGCAGGATCCTGGCTTCCATTGAGAGCTCCGGCTACCACTCGGCCAGCCCCGATGAGGCCTGCCTCCTCCTCTTCCTCAGCCTGGAAGTCCCAGCTGGAGAGTGCAGCCCCCTGCCCCAGCAATGGAATGGGGGAAGGAACCATCTGGTCCTCGGTCTCCACCCAGCTCCCTGCCCCCAGACCTTCCAACTGGGACAGGCGATGGTGGCCAAGGCCAGCCCCACAGTGGACACCTTCCGGCCTGGCTTTGACGTGGCCCTCCCGCTTCTCCCTGAAGCCCACCCATTGCGAGGTGGGGCACCTGGCCAGCTGCAACAGCACAGCCCCCTCCCCGGGGTGCCCCTGCTAGCCCTGGCAGACGAGAGGGGCGGGTGGCGCACAGCAGGCACTGACCCCTCTGTCTGTCCCTGGGATGGGCGCTGTGAGCAGGACCGTGGACTCGAGCAGTAAGTGGACCTTTACCCTTGCGGGCTGGGCGGGAAGGGTCTGCAGTGGGAGTGAGCCTAGAGGCCAAGGTGGAGGGCAGGATTGGGGTGGGATGGGAGAGTCGGTGAGGCCGGGCAAATTCAGCCTCTGCTGCAACAGGGGGTAATCAGGTTAGACAGAGAGAAACACCACCAAGATGATACTCCACCATAAGGGGTGTCCAAAGTGGGTTTTGGAGTTCTCCCTTGGGGGGAGCTTTAAAAACAAAAATGTGACTCACTTCTACTGACTCTTTTTCTCATATTCCGATTCCTCCTTCCCTATTATTTTAACATCCACATCTATGGTGCTCACTCTGTCCTAAGTTATAAATAGTTATAATAAAATAATACTAACTGCTATCATTTATTTGTATAAGCTCAGAGAGGTCAAGTAACTTGTCTGAGGCCATCCAGACAACAAGAGCACAGCCAGTGTTTAAATCCAGGGGTGCCTGTTTCCAAAGCCTGAAGCATTAGAATTCAGAGATTTAACCAAGAGTTTATAATCAACCCATCAAATGCCTCAGAGCCATGGAGATTACGAACTGGTCACAGATGGAAGTTGCTCCTGTGTCTAATTTGGGGGTTAACCTCTTAAGGAAACAGCTTTTGGTTACAACAAATATGAATGAGGTCAGACCTAAGGAAGAACTTCCCACCGGGAGACGTAGGAGGGGCATGGTGGCCTATGGGACATGGAGAGTTGTTCAGAAAGTGCTCTCTCCCTGGGCTAGTTGGGGTGACACACTTCAGGTGGTCAAGCAGTTAACCCCTAAGCACCCTTACGTCCACCCCTGCACTCCCGGGAGGCCAGCAGTGTCCAAAAGGCTGATTGGGCAGGCAGGAGCCAGAGCCCTTTGGAGGTTGTCCAGGGCCCCTGGGGCAGAGGGTTCCTTCTCCATCTCTGGGGCAGACCTGATGTGGAATCTGTCAGCCTGGTGTTCTTCTGATGCTCCCTCCCTCAGGTACCTCCCTGTTCTCTGCTACAACAACATGGGCTATTCTCAGCTCCTCTCCCTCCTAGGAATTCTTCACATGGCCAAGCTCCATTTTTGCCTCTGCTTCTCAGGGGCTCTCATGGGAATGCTATCACTCTCCCTCCTGAAGGCACGTGGGCTCCAGGGACCCTCCCACAGCCAGTGGTAGGAATGGAATTGCCCTTCGGCCTGGACCCACCCGTAACGGGCATCCTCAGCAGTGACCTGAAAAGTTGGGGATCTGCCCCCCTCTCCAGGCACCTCAAGCTCAGAGCTCAGACAGAGCTTCCCTTCGGTGAACAAGTTTTTCCTGCTCACCATGGGCCTGCCTCACTTTTCTGATTAGGCACTTAGCTACGCTTGCTTAGAGGAAGTTCTTTTTCAGCTGACTTTAGTGACTGCTATGTGCGGTTGCTGACTGGTGAACCTGAAGCTGTTTCAGTCTGAACTTCTCTGGGAAACAGTTAAGGAGCTGCCTTCAGTAGGTGAACTGTTGACTCACTGGATGTTTACCGATTGATCCAAAATTGGCCAGAACTGGTCAAGGCTTTCTAATCGGTGGGGGGGCACCCTCTAAGTAACGTTGTCGATGAGCGTGTATCCAGCGTGTGATGCCTGGCAGCCTCTGACTGCCCTCTGAACTTCTAGAAGTTCTCTCTTTGGCCTCAGTCCACCTGCAGGGGACAGGATTTATAATCTCCAGAGTAGCTGGAGCCTCAGTTTCCCGGAGGTGCCGGGCAGCTGCCTGAACCAGCCAGACAGTAGAGGGACGGAATGAGAGGGGGAGGCCACCAGCCACAGGGCAGCCCTCGGAGGGTGGCCTGAATAAACAAGGACTGGCCAGAGAAAGAGGCAATTCACCGTCTCTGCCACCATCCCACAGCCGCTGTCCCACATTCACTGGGTGGGGGAGGGGAGGAAGCCCACACGTGGGGAGAGCTTGCTCTGGGCCAGGTGCTGTGCCAGCCACTTTGCACAAGTCATGCACACTCAAGTACCCTTCAGGACAGATATTATTATTCCCACTTCAGGGAACAGGAAACTGAGGCTCAGACAGGTAGAGGGAGCCACTCAAGGCTTCCCTTGCTTCACCACGGCCTCTCTCAGGTCTCTGATGGGGCAGCTATGGTGGTGGTAGCGGTGGAGTTGGGGTTCAACCGTGCACTTCTGGCTACAAAGCCCATATTTTTCCACCTTCGCTGAACAGTCTCCTGTTGCTTTGGAATAAGCCTCCACCCATTTAAATTGTTACTTATTTATTTTTATGAATAGGGAATTCATTCACATGGTACAAAATTCCAAAGGCACAAAAGGGTATACAGCAAAACTCCCTCCCACCCCTGTCTCTGGCCGCCCAGTTTTTCCTTCCTGGAGCCAAACACCGTTTCTAGTCTATCTTCTGTCTTTTCTGAGGTACTCTGTGTGTGCACAAACAGCTTGTGTATGTGCTCTCCCTCATTTGGGGTGGGCTTTTTTTTTCTTCCATAAATTCAACACATATTTTCAAGTTCCCTGGCCTGTCTCCTTTGGATATAGGAGGCGTGGTGTCTAGGGATCCATGAAAACGTTTTCATTTCTTTGAAAATCAAAAGAAAAAAACCGAACTTTTAAATAGAAGAAAATTTTTGGGGGTGCCTATGTGGCTCAGTCAGTTAAGCGTCCAACTTCAGCTCAGGGCATGATCGCGCGGTTTGTGAGTTCGAGCCCCGCATCAGGCTCTGTGCTGACAGCTCAGAGCCTGGAGCCTGTTTCAGATTCTGTGTCTCCCTCTCTCTCTGCCCCTCCTCTACTTGCACTGTGTTTCTCTCTCTTAAAAATAAATACACATTTAAAAAATATTAAAAAACCCAACTCAGGTCATGATCCCAGGGTCATGGGATCAAGCTCTGCATCAGCCTCTGTGCTGAGCATGGAGCCTGTTTAAGATTCTCTCTCTCTCTCTGCCCATCCCCCCTGCTCATTCTCTCTCTAAATTAAAGAAGAAAAAAATAATTTAAACAGAATAAAATGTGTTAATATATATTTTAATGTTTCAGTTAAAAAAAATTTTTTTAATGTTTTCTTTATTTCTAGGAGAGAGAGAGAGAGACAGCGTGAGCAGGGGAGGGTCAGAGAGAGGGAGTCACAGACTGAAACAGGCTCCAGGCTCTGAGCTGGCAGTCAGCACAGAGCCCGACGCGGGGCTCGAACCCACGAACCGCGAGATCATGACCTAAGCGAAAGTCGGACGCTTAGCAGACTAAGCCACCCAGGGGCCCCTCAGTTAAAAAAATTTTTTTGAGCGAGGGAGCGAGCGTGCACATGCACGCGCATGCACAAGGAAGCAGGGGAGGGGCAGATGGAGAATAAGAGAGTCTTAAATTGGTTCCACCCAGCTAGAACCCACTTTGGAGTTCGATCTCATGATTGTGAGATTATGACCTCAGCTGAAATCAAGAGTCGGATGCTTAGGGGCACCTGGGTGGCTCAGTCACCTTAAGCATCTGACTTCGGCTCAGGTCATGATCTCACAGTTCATGAGTTCAACCCCGGCATTGGGCTCTGTGCTGTCAGAGCCTGGAGCCTGCTTTGGATTCTGTGTCTCCCTCTCTCTCTGCCCCTCCCCCTCTCATGCTCTGTTGCTCTCTGTCCCTCAAAAATAAATAAACGTTAAAAAATGTTTTTAAAAAGAATCAGGCGCTTAATTGACTGAGCCACCCAGGTGCCACTTCTTTTTTTAAGATTTATTTTTAAATAATCTCTACACCTGACATAGGGCTTGAATGCATAACCCCAAGATCAAGAGCCTCATGCTCTAACAACTGAGCCAGCCAGGTACTCCAGTATTTTCATTTTTATACTGAGAGTTATCAATATATAACTGAGAGTTATATATTTTTTTTTAGTAGCAGAGGGACCCCAAAAGCCAAAGTGCCTAGGACACATGGAGGTCACAATATGGCCCTGGCTATAGCCAGGCCTCAATAGAGCCCAGTGGAGCCACACTGACTCCATCCTTGGGCACTGAGGCCCTGAGTCCGTGGCAAGCACCTTGTATGGTCACAGGACCCTATGACTTCGTTGGCAGGTACCATGAAGTCCCCTCCATAACACACTCACACACACATGCAGGTGCTGATCCAGATCTGCTTGTTTACCTCTACTGATGGGGATCTTACCATCTCCCAAGGCCACCCACTCACTACTCTGCCAGATCCATTACTAGATTTTGTGCTGAAAGTGACCTGTTTGGACATTTGGTCCATTGGTCCTGGGTCTATCCTTTATTGCACATGGGACATTCATGCATTTAGCACCATTACATGCCCGTTTTCTGCCAGGCACTCTGCCAGGCCCTGGGGATGCTAAGATGAGGAAGGCACGCCCCCCTGTCCTCAAGTTGTTTGGTCTTAGGGGGGAGACAGACAAGTCACTGGTTATGACACACACTGTTAAGCAGAGAGATGCTGTGCCCGCTGCCTCGTTGGTTCCTCTCCGTCAGAGCTGGGTGACCTCTCTAGGCCTCAGTTTCCTCATCTGTAAACAGGGCACTAACAGCACACACCTCCCATCTCTGAAGGAGTTGCCGTGAGAAGGAAGTGAGTTAATATGTGTAAAGCACATGGTGCTTCAACAAAGCATGTGCTCGGTAGAAGGCTGGAGTGGCACGGCGCATTACTCCCACAGTGGGGGCACAGAGGAGGGAGCCATCGCTGGAAAGATCAAGGAGGGCTTCCCAGAGAAGGTGAGGTTTGAGCTTAGACATTAAGATCAATAGGAGGAATATCTTTGCTAGAAGGCAGAGAGGGGTGTCCCAGACACTCCCTCAGGAGAAGGGTCTACAGAGACACAGAGGACGGAACAGTGGAGGTTTGTGAAGGTTTATTCAGAAAGCCCTTTGTCTCTGGGTTCAATTTTTAATAATTTTTTAATATATTCTTTTTTATTTTTGAGAGAGAGAGAGATAGCATGAGCAGGGGAGGGTCAGAGAGAGAGGGAGATACAGAATCTGAAGACAGGCTCCAGGCTCTGAGCTAGCTGTCAGCACAGAGCCCGGTGCGGGGCTCAAACCCACAAACCTTGAGATCATGACCTGAGCCGAAGTCAGACACTTAACCGACTGAGCCACCCAGGCGCCTCTCTCTGGGTTCTAAACTTGTGGGTTTTCAGCACCCAAGGGCTTTACTGGGGAGGGGAGAGGGGCTGTAGCTGGCTGGTGCTGTGGCACCAATGAAGTGGAGAATGTCCTGTTGTTTGACTTGTGGCTTCTCCCAGGAGAGGCCTGGTGGCCACCTGAGCAGTAGAGACAGAAGGCGGGAGGCAGGACCCCTGGGAGACCCCTAAGCAGTGGCTCTGGGGTAGTTCAGATGACCCAGCGGCAGGAGTTCACATATTTGTTTCTAGTTTCAGCTCTGCTCCTTTCTGAGACTCTCAGCTAGTCCTTGGGTCTCTTTGAGACTCAGTCTCCCCCATCTGTTCAATGGGGGGTAGTCCAGAGGCTAAGCACTCCAAGGACTGCTTCTTGAAGGTTCAGACTCAGACCAGATAGGCTGTGGCTGTGGAGGGTCCTGGGACCCTATTCACCAGTCCCATTCGGAGCAGGCCTGTGAGCCCAGGAGTCTGGCCTCTCTAGGCCCTCCCTGCACCTCCCAGTAGCTAGGTCATGGGCACTGCTTCCCTGGGGAGGGAGAGGCAGTCCCAGGGAGGTGGCTCCTGCCCATCCTCCCACAAATACATACAGCCTGAGTGTGGCCCCGGGAAGTTGGGGGAAGAAGGTGGGAGGAACAGAGGAGGCCTGTTCTCTGGGCAAGAGGGCCTCTGGACAGCAGCTTCCTGTGCGGTTCCAGGCTGGGGGCCCAGCCTACCTCCTGACAGAGGAGCCTTTCATGGGCCTGGGCTTTTGGGATGGGGGGGGGGGATGCAGGGCAGGGGGCCAATCAGGTGAGGGCTGCCTGAGAATCTGTGTGTGGCAGAGCAGTGGGCAGGCAAACGTGGGCCTGTCCAAGTCGGACCAGGCCTCGGAAACAGCTGGTGCCACCACCTCCCATTCTGCAGAGAGGAAGCCGAGATCCAGAGAAGAGAAGGGGAAATGTGGGAGACCACCAAGGCTAGAGGTGGGACTAGAAGCCGGGGCCCCTGGCTCCTAGCCCAACTGTGGGTGAGGGGCGAGTGTGAAGCTTGGTGTGTGTTGGTGTTCAGTGTGTGGCCGTGTGTGTGCATGAGTGTTAATGTAGGAAGCACGCGTGATGGGTGTGCACGTTGTGAATTTGGGAGTGTTCGTGTGGGGGGTTGGGGAGCCATCAGGGAGCCAGGTGGGGTGAGGGGCAGCTGTCTCAGGCCTCATATGTGTGAGACCCCCCTCCTGTACCTCCTTAGGACCCACCCTGGGGGACTGCTACCCGATGCCACCTTCTGCCTCATCCCCGGCCACCGTCCTGCTGCCTTGCACTTCCTCCAAGCCCTGCAGGTACACCCCGAACTTAGGCACCCCCTGCCCCTGTGGTCCACACTCCTGAGCTGGCAGGGTACTGGGGCTCAGGCCAGCGGGAAGGGGCAGGGAGCGGCCCATGCCTTTCCTCTGGGACTCGGGTGTGCCTACAGCCACACTCACCACACCCTCTCTAGAACAGCCCACTGCCCCCAAAATACCACTTTTCTCTCTTCTTTGCCCCTTGCCCCCAACCAAAGCAGCTGCTAACTTGGAAGTAGGGGAGGGTGAATGTGTGTAGGATAGGACTGGGCTCCCCAGGGCTCCCCAGTGACTCCCCTTTCCCCCAGGCTGGCTGCATCCCTGTGCTTCTCAGCCCTCCGTGGGAGCTGCCCTTCTCCGAGGTCATCGATTGGACCAAGGCGGCCATTGTAGCTGACAAGAGGCTGCCATTTCAGGTAGCTCAGGGCCCCGCCTCCAGGACATGGAGGACTCTGGGATCTCGGCCCCCAGACTGATCTCAGTCTTCATTCCTATCCCCCGTGTGTGGATGTGGATGATTTTGCCCCAAGTCCCAAGCCTCAGGGGCTCCCAGAGGATCAGAACTCCTGAAGGTACTAAAAGCAAGTTGTGAGCCTTTTCCAGCCTCAGTTTCCCCATCTGTTCAATGGGATAGGTGAGATCAGATGATCTCCATGGGCCCAGCCCCACTGGTCCATGACTGGACTAATTTAAGGGAAAGCCACAGAAAATCAAAAATCGGAGTGCCTCCATGGGGACTGGGGTGGGAAAAACAAAATGCACAGTGACTTTTCCTGCTGATGAAACTAATCCGCCTGGCTATGAAAATCTATGCTGAAGCCTTGACTCCCCTGAGAAGGGAGAGAAGTATGGCAGTTAATAATAATAGCTGCCCGCCACTGAGTCTCTACTATCTGCTAAGCACTTATTGTGTATTATCTCATTTAATCCTCATAACTACCCTATGAGGCAAGTACTATTATCATCCCCATTTTTCAGATGACAGAGACTCAGAGAGGTTAAGTAGTTTGTCTGCAGTCACACAGGTACCAAGTGTCATGGAGGCCCAGCTCTGTGTGACCCTTGAGCTACCTGGGCCTTGGCCAAGGGTGTCTTCCGACTTAAAAAACCATGGGGAGAAGGCTTCTGGGTCCCAGACCTCCAACCTGGATTGTCCCCACCCCAGAGTCAGTCAAAGACAAGGCCCCATGATGTCTCCTTTTCTCCCTCTGTGCTTCAGGTCCTCACTGCCCTCCAGGAGATGCCCCCCACGCGGGTCCTTGCCCTGCGTCAGCAGACCCAGTTTCTATGGGATGCCTACTTCTCCTCAGTGGAGAAGGTCGTCCATACCACCCTGGAGGTGAGGGGCACTTCCAGGCTGGGGGCCATGGTGCTTGGCTCCTGCCTCTTCCCTGCTCCTTCTCCACACCACTCTCTCTCTGGGCACCTCTTCTGTCCCAGTACTTGGACGTCCCCCTGGAAGACGCCTCGGGATGAATCAGACATGACTCTGAGCTCTTGGACAAATTCCTTCTCCAGTCTTGGCCTCAGCTTCCCTATCTGTAGAAGGACAGCTCTGGCCAATAGATTTCAAAGCAGGTGCCACCTTGCCAGTCCAGGTGATGGGTAGTGGCTGCCTGGGGTGTCAGGCAAAAAGGGATTCTGGGTCCAGAAAGAATGTCACAACTTGTTAGCCATGTCTGCCACGAGGGAGGAAAGAAAGGGAGGAGCAAGCTCACCGTCATCTGCCACCCCCAGACATGATCACCGAGTGTCCTTACTCTGGACTTCTGCGCCTGAACCCCTCGGTGATGCATGGGCTGCCCTCCCTGAGCCTGGAGGAGGGAGGGGTAGGGCTATGCCAGGGCCGGTCCCCACTTCCCCAGACCCTGTCCCCAGCCACACCGGCCACTGCCTCTACACGGCCCTCTCATTTCACAGATTATTCAGGACCGGATCTTTGGAGCATCTGCTCACCCCTCGCTACTGTGGAACAGCCCCCCGGGTGCACTTCTGGCCCTGCCCACTTTTTCCACAAGCCCTTCGGACTTCCCCTTCTACTACCTACAACGGGGTATGCCCTGGGGGTGGGATAACGGGGTACACCCTAGGGGTGGGACAACTTGAAATTTCCCCACCAACTCTTTCCAAGCCCATCCCAGCCTCAACCATACAGCCCGGCCAAGCCCTTCCCTGATTCTCCAACAGCTCTCCTGGCTCCCGGAGTCCCCAGCTCTGGTCACTCTTCAGGGGGTCCTGTCCCCTCCTACCCTAACAGCCTGTGTCTCATTCCCTCAGGGTCGCGCCCTGTGGGCAGGTTCAGCGCCCTGATCTGGGTGGGGGCCCCAGGCCAGCCCCCCATGAAGCTCATCCAGGCGGTGGCAGGCTCCCAGCACTGTGCCCAGGTCTGTCCCCTTGCCAGCTGGGGTCTTGGGATCCAGGGTGGGGGCCAGGACAAGGGCAGGGCCCTTGAAGACCATCTAGACCATCTAGACCCCAAGCATAACCACACATTTTGGGGGAGGAGGCACATCTCTGCCCTCCTCTTTAAGTCCCAAGTTTCTCGTTCCTTTCCTCCCCTCCCTCCTTCTTGGAAACTGACAAAATCATCTAAAAAGCAGATGCCACTTGGGGAGGCTGGAGAAGTAAACATACATCCATGTGTTAACTCATCAGTCATTCTCTGAGTGTCCGGCCATGGGCTTGGTACTGGGGTGCAGAGAAAAACCAGGAAAGGATTCAGCCCTGGATTCAGATTCAGTCAGCATTCCCTGGCACACGCTATCAAATCTCACTTCCAGCAAAGCCACATAGACTCTTGAGAGGACTCACAGGGGAGGAAAGCACTTAGCTCAGCCAGCGACTGACAGAGCAGCTCTACCGATGTGACATTTGAGCTGGGCTGAGAATGGTAAAGGAGCAGAAGAGAATGAAAGCCTTTAGGAGTAGATGGGGATGGGGTCAGGGCCCAGGCTGGGGGCTACCACAACTGACTCATTTTTTTAATGTTTATTTTTGAGAGAGCATGAATGGGGGAGGGGCAGAGAGAGAGAGAGACACAGAATTGGAAGCAGGCTTAGAATCGGAAGCTGTCCGCACAGAACCCAATGCGGGGCTCGAACCCACAAACCATGAGAGATCAGGACCTGAGCCACAGTCGGATGCTTAACCGACTGAGCCATGCAGGTGCCCTGACAACTGACTCTCTCAAGTTCTAATGCTATAGGTAGTAGCTACCTTTGCGTCTCTGGAATTTCTGCCTTCCAGATCCCCAGAGGCAGAAACTGGGCAGCATTGATGAAAGACCTTGGCTCCAACTAAACTCTTGCCCAAACTCACAAATACAGCTGCTCTCCCAGACTTCAGGAACACCTTCCTTTCCTCCTAGATCTTGGTCCTCTGGAGCAGCGAGAAGCCACCCCCACCCAGGTGGCCTCAGACAGCAGTGCCCTTGATAGTCATGGACGGGCAGAGGAAGGTGAGGAGAGGAGCAGAGAGGGGCACAGGAGGGAAGGATCCTCCCCCTGCCTGCTGGGAACCGGGGAGGGCATGCACAGAGGGCTTCACTTGGGCCTGAGCCAAATCTGGACTTCAAGTTACGCCTGCAGCTGGTCAGGAAGTCCTCCTTCACTCCTCACTTAAGTACCTCTTTAGGCAAACTTTGCTCTCGTGCTGTGGTAAAGCTTCTTGGAGTGGATGGTGGGCTGTCCGACGCGGGTTTCAGTGACAGGCCTGATAGAAAGGATTCTCTTCCATCCCTGGCCCTTCTGAATTGTGCTTCCAGAGAACTGGGGTTTTATGTGATCAGGGGAGGCAAAGGGAGTGATGCCGGCTGTCTTGGATGAGCCAGAAGAAAAACCTGGGATCTTAAGGAAATGGGGAGAGATGGCAAATTGGGCCAGAGGACGGTGGCTTCTGAGGCCTGGAGCCACCTGTGTGCTGTGTGGTTCTGGGCAAGTCCCTTCATCCCTCCGGATCTGTTGCTTTCAAAGGAAGGGTGTCTGACAACCCCTCGCAGGGTTGAGGTGAACACGTAATGTGACAAGAGAGGAATTTTGAGGTGTTGAAGCTAGAAGGGTTCCTACTGCCCCATTTTACCACAGGGGACCTGAAGTGCAGAGAGGTCGAGTGAGTTCCAGGTCCTAATTCCAGCCTTGCTGTCTGCACTGCCTTTCCTTCTACACCATGTCTGCCTGTCTGTGGGGGCTCCCGCTTAGCAGATATGCAGACAGTCCCCGCGGGAACCTGGGGAGGGTTCCCATTGCTGAGTTGGCCTCACCTCCCTCCCGCTGCAGGTCAGTGACCGCTTTGTCCCGCACAGAGCCATCAGCACAGACGCCATCCTCAGCCTCGACGCACATAGCAGTCTTACCACAAGTGAGGTGAGGACTGGGCCCCAGTATGGGGGGGGGACAGAGCCAGAGGGCCCCGGAAGCCCCTCCGATTCCCTGAGCAGGGAGGAGCCGGGGACCAGAGCAGAGGTACATCCTCCCACTTTTGAAATTACCCCAGGGAGCCAATCACCCTCCTCCTCCACAGCCTCTCGAAAACAATCTTCACCTCCCAACTGAAAAGTATTGTTTCTAGCTCCCAGCTGGGACACCCCGCCCCCACCCTCAAGCACTCCTGGAGAATTTTATGCTCCCATCTCCTCTCTCAGCTTGGCTGGCCTTGCCTCTGTATCTCTGGATGTTCCTAGCCAGTCAGGAAGGCCCTCCTCAGACCTCACTTAACTATCTCCCCAGGTGGACTTTGCTTTTCTGGTGTGGCAGAGCTTTCCCGAGCGGATGGTGGGCTTTCTGACGTGGAACCACTTCTGGGATGAGGCCCAGGGTGGCTGGGGCTACACTGCTGAGAAGAACAATGAGTTCTCCATGGTTCTCACGTCAGCTGCCTTCTACCACAGGTAAAGATGGCGGCCGTGGTCCTTGGAGCAGAGGGCCAGAGACCCCCTCTCTGAACCACGAGCAGGGTGGTGTGGGAGTGAACATAGCAGTCACTATGTGACCCTGGAGATCCAGGGTCAGGGCTCAGATCTGCCCCATCCCAGTTGTGTGATGGGCAAGTCTCCTCACCTCTTGTGAGGCTCAGTTTCGTTATCGGGAAAATGTCTTTACCTCACAGGGCTGATGTGATAATCAGGTAAGAAAACCCTACGAAGGCCTTGGCACACAGGATGGTCAACAAACAGTAGCTAGTGTTGGTTTAAATAGAGCCAAGTAGAAGGTATGGACAGTATTTGGATTTGGTGATGGTGCTAACAAGAGAAGGGTCCCGAAGCTTTATAAATGTGTGTGTGGTGGGCTGGGGACTGTCCCCGACCTTCCAGAAGTTGACCAAAGCACCTGTCTTTGGGGCAGGGACTGAATTCTAGAAGGCCCCTTTAGAGGTGTTCCTTAGACGTGTTTAACCAAGTATGGGTAAACTGGAACCTCTAGTAGATTCTGCAGGGAATTCTCAGCAGAGGGAAGAATGCCCCTAAGGTCTGCAGAGTGGGCCTACGGTGTTTAGTAGGAGGCCTATGTGAGGCAGGGCTCCATCAGCCTGCTTAATCCACAGCCTTCCAGAAGCTGGTCTTTGGAACCTCCATATTTAATGGCCTTGGAACCAGCTGACTGCCCCCCCCCCACTTCATTCTGAGTTCAGACCTCAGAGCCCCAGGGGTGGGGGCCCTAAGGAGCTATAAGGGAGGAGGCAAGGAGGACGCCATCTGCTGAGCACAGACATCAGAACCACAGAGCACAGAACAGTAGAGGGAGGTTTGGATTTCTGGTGTGAGCTCTCTGAGATGGCCAGGGCTCAGAGAGGGGAGCAGGGGTTTCTAAAGAGGCTTGGGGGTTGAAGTCAAAGGGAGAGTGAGGTCAGGAGGGAGGAGAATGGGGCCTGATGGAGACAGGTGGTGTGTGGATTTGGCTGCAGCCTCTGCCTGTCCTTCCCCCTTTACCAGGTATTACCACACCCTCTTCACCCACTCCCTGCCCAAGGGTCTGAGAACCCTGGCAGATGAAACACCCACTTGTGTGGACATCCTGATGAACTTCCTAGTAGCAGCTGTCACCAAACTGCCCCCTATCAAGGTGCCCTATGGGAAGCAGCATCTTGAGGCCAGATCTCCACTGGTGAGGAACAAGGGCGACAGGTTGACACTGGGAGGGCACTGGCTGGGGAAGGGATTCCCTCTCACTGTCTAACCCAAATCCTTTTTTGCTGCAGGGTTCAGGAGCGTGGGAGTGGGTTCGGGGGCGTGGGGTGGGTTCAGAAGGACAGAGGAGACCCCCAACTCTTTTCTCCTCCCCTTTAGGTGCCTGGGGGTCGGGAGCCGCAGCCGGCAGCCCGAGACTGCATCAATCAGATGGCTGCGGGTTTCGGCTACATGCCCCTGGTTTCCTCTCGCCTCCGTCTGGACCCAGTGCTTTTCAAGGACCCGGTGTCCGCGCTGCGCAAGAAGTATCGCAGCCTGGAGAAGCCCTAGGAGCGGCCAGAGGAGCCCCCAGGCCTGCTCCCACCGGGCGCCGCACCTGCTCAGGGCGGGGGAGCGGGTGCATCAGCTCCTCCCTGGGGACAACTGGAGACCCAATCAAGGCAGCCAGTTAGCTAAACGTCAGATCGCTCTTGGCCAATCACAGCGCTGGCGTACCAAGGGGCGGGGCCTCGCCCCCCTCCCCCCCCCCAGCCCAGCGGCTAGTGGCAGGTCAGGTGCAAGGCGCTTGGCTGCGGTGCCTCTGCCATCGCTGACCCCTTGCCTGGAATGCCTTTCTCGGCTTCTGCGGAGCTGACTTCTACTTGTCTTTCAGATCTTCGCCTTCTCCACGGGCTTGACTGACCCCCTGACCCGGATCCTCTGAGCTTTCACGGCCGGGTGTTCCCACACTGTTCGTGCAGCTTTGCAAGGTACACAGTCAGGCCCCAGGACTAGCCTGGGAGCCCCGGGAGGGCACGGCTATGTCCTCTTCTCTCCGGCAGGTGCTTCACAATATTTGACGGACAGCTAGAAGAGACATCAACTGCGTGCCCAGCCCTGTGCCGTAGTCGGGAGTGTGGACAGTGTGTTGAGTGAGACAAAACTCTGTCTTCCCCCCCCTCTTCCCCGGCCCACGGGGTTGCTAGTCCGGCAGGAAGGCAGCTACCCGCAGATGCCTGTGTTGCCAGGCATGATCTTCGCACCCCAGCAGTGGAGCAAAGAGGCGCTGAGAAGCCAGTTTCGGCGCTTTCTTCCCGACCTGGCGGAGCGTAGGGCCGAGGAGAAAGGGGCTGAGAACGCAGGAGGTCCGTCCCAACCCAGCCCCGGGGGTGGGGGTGAGCAGTGATACCCTCAGCTCAGGCCTGGCCGTGACTCTGCACTACCAGCCAGGACCACTAGAGGTCAGCGCCACACCGCGCTCCCTCTGGGAAAGGGACTGGATCTACAGCCCCTTTGGTTCAAGGCAGGCGAGGGGACGTGGAGAGGTGCTGCGGTGCAGCCCAAGGTCTGAAAACTGGGGGGAGGAATTTAAAAAAGAGCCCCACTCCTTTAACCCACACACTCAGGACTAAGAAAGAGCCATTTCTAGTTGGGCTAGGTGGGAGAGGGGGTTGTTCCAAGCACCCTGGCCATGACAGTGGAGTGGGGGAAGGGGCGCTGGCTTCTCCAGGGTTCATCCACCTGGAACTGGACTTATCACTTCCGAAATAAAGCGCGTGTCCTTGCCCCCTCATGCTCGGGCTATAAATACCCCTCCAGCAGCTGCGTGGGGGAGGGGGACTCAGGGCTTGCCTGGGAGCAGGGCGACTCTAAAGAGGTGGGGGTGGTGGGTCCAGCCCAGGTCCAGGGTGTCAGGTGTTTTCCTGCTTTGATGGCCTCACAGCTTTGGAAACTCTCGTGATCAGCTCGCCCTGGCCAGCGGGAACATGCTGTCCCCAAGGGCTTCTCCAAGGCCTCCCACTGCCATCCTCCAGCTTGACCTCTGGCCCTTGGATGATTCAGGTCCTGCCTGGAACCAGTCCCAGCTGGGGTGCAGAGAGGGCTCTCCCTTGGGAGGCCTGGGGCTGCTACAGTATTGAGGTGGTGGTGGGGTGGCCTGGGAGTTGAGGAGGGAAGGCATTCTGGCCCAGGGTCAAGAACAGTTGAAGGTGGGTGAGGGAGCACACAGCTGTGGCCCAGGCAGCCTTCCCACGGCGGGGAGGGCTCTCAGTGCCAGTCCTGGCCAAGGGAAAGAGACACCTTTCCCCTCCCCACTCACTGCTACAGCACCCAGACACTGAGCTGCCTTGGCATGGCCTTACCCATGGAGGGCACTGCCAGGCCCAAGGGCTTGCACTGTACCAACATGCAGCCCAGAACAGGTTTTCAGCTCCTGCTGTAAAGGGAGGCCTGAGTGGCTGAGGCAGAAACCCCAGTCCTGCTTCACACTGGCCCCATGACCTCAAGCAAGTGAGTCAACCTCTCTGGCTTTGGTTTTCTCATTTGTAAAAATGTAACACCACAAATACCCTCTCTGCAGAGGGATATAAGGATGTGACACCCGGCAGAGGTCAGGACCCAGGTTCCTGGAGCCTGCAGTGGCCAGAGGGGAGAGGGGCTTGATTCTCCAGAGATTGGAGTAGAATAGAACACAGCCCTCAGCAGTGCCCCTCCCCCACCACACTTCCAAGCCACACGACTTCCCACAGATTTACCTGTGACTCAGACCACAGGTGAGCCTGGATGACCGTGCTTGAAAGACACAAAGAGGTTATTTCGCAGATGGAAAGAAAGCGGTTCACAGGGGAAGGCGAGTGACCAACCCCTCCTCTTCCAGCTGTGAATCAGGGCAGAGTCAAGATCAAGGCAGTGCCCCTGGGGAGGCTAGGAAGCCCACCTGTCCCCTCGGCAAAGCAGTTTCATGCTGCATCTTTCCAGCCTGATGATCAAAGTAACCACTCTGCAAGGAACACCGTGTGCTTAAAAGACTTTGGCTCCAGTCCTCACAACAACCCTGTGAGGTAGGTTCACTCTTAGTCTTTTATTCTGAGATGAGACCTAAGGGCACTTGCTTGTAAAACCCAGGGCCGCCTAGTGACAGGCTGTGCTGCCTTCCCTGGGAGACTGGGCACAAGTCTCCCCTCTTCACCTTGGACACACCAGCTGCCCCTAATTTAGGAACCTGCATCCACCTCAGGAAGCCAGCATCTCCCAGCCACTGTCCTCCATCCTTGGGTTCTGAGCCCGTCAGGCCATGCGGGCAACAGAGCTGGCCCAGGGGCCGTGGGGCTGCTCAGGAAAGACCCACGCTGAGATCGCTGCCCCCACTGCCACCTGTGGCCAGGGCATCATTGCGTTGGCACAGGTGGTGCCCGAGCTGGGGGAATAAGGGAAGAAGAAACCGGCCAGGTCCCTTCCTGATCAGAAGCCTCCTCTCTCCAGGAAAGAGAAACATTTGGCTCACAGCTGAAGTGACAAAGGCACAGACAGGCCTCAGGTACCTGCTGTCACGGGACATGTGTGAGAGTGCAGGGTCCTCACAACTCCCAACCCCAAGGCCTCCTTAAACCCTATTGTTGCAGGCAGAGGGAGAGACTGTTCTGGGGCTTCTGCATAGATCCGTAGGCAAAGGCCAGACAGACTGAAATGGGGAATAAGACAGTGGGCAAGGGGATATTGAGGCCAGTCTCCCCCCGTCACCCCTCGCTGTGCCTCACTGCTTTTCCTGAAGCCGGTGGTAGGAAAGCTTTAGCTGAGGATTAGGCCCAAACCCAGCCCTGCAAGGCACCAATCCAGAAGCTGGAGGAACGGGGTCATAGTGGCTTTACACTTTGCCGAGTCTCCATCCTTCAAATGGCTCTAGTCAGATGGGGGAGGCAGGGAATAGTTCCTCCACACTGAACACAGAGCAGAGGTCAGGAGAGGGACCCGCTTTATAACACAGCCAGGATAGGCGGTGTCCTGGCTGGGCCTGGGGGACACCTGCCCCATCACCTGCAGGTCCTGGCCGTGTCTCAGTAGGCACCTGGCCAGGCAGTCAGTCCGAGGGGCCTTGGCACGCCTGACAGTCCTTCATGTCCTCGGAGTAGTCTTCAATCTGGATGGTCATGGTGTGGAAGTGGAACTTTCCCTGCAGGCTGGTGCTGGCTGCCTTCAGCACGGCCTGGGCGTCTGCATTCTGAGCTAGGGGCCGAGAGGACACACCGGGGGAGGGACCAGAGAACACTTACTCACTCTTGGGCCCTTAGGAACAATCAGGAGGCCAACACTCCCTACCCCCTGCAGAACAGGATGCAGGCATCGAGAAACCCCCAGATGCCACTCCTGCATCAATCAGGCAACCCCCTGGTTCCCGTACTTGGCCCAATCCTTCAAGAGCGGGGAAAGCACTGACTTTAAGGCTAGGAGTCTTTTCTCTGCCACCTGTTAGCTGTAAAAGCCCAGGCAAGTGACTGTACCCCTAATTTAGGAACCTGCACCCTACCCAGCCCCAGCCTCAGTTTCCTCATCTATAAATGGGGTCATGATGATCAAATGAAATAATGTCTGTAAAGTACTCAGCATGGGGCCAGGTTCAATGCACCAGCACTGCAAACATCTGAGGTCATTGGCTGCCTCAGGGATGGCCCCAGACATCCGGCAGCCTCTCGCTCACCCAGCCCTGAGTATCCTGACCACTCACCTATGGCGATGTGGACAGACAGCACGGGCTGGGACACGGTCAGCGCCCAAATATGCAGGCTGTGTAAGGCTTCCACCCCTTCCACGGACAGCAGCAGGTCCCGTACAGCCGTGAAGTCCACACCCTTGGGGGTCCCTGAGGGTGGCAGGGACTGGGGCTGAAGGAAACCGTTCCCTCCCACCCATGCTGTTTTCTGCTGTTCACGTCTCCTCAGAGATGACCCCCTTGGCCAGCAGGTCTGATGCTGCCCCCGCCTCCCAGATGATTTCCATCATAGCATCCTTCTGTATGTCTCTTCACACTTGATGCTGTCTGCAACTATCTTGTTAGTTTCCTGCCTGTGACTCCTCTATAATGGAAACTCCACGAGAGCAGAACAGTTATTTACCACCGTATCCTCAGTGCCTAGAACAGGGCCTGGCCCATAGCAGGTGCTCAGTGAAAATTTTCTTGGAGCGGAAGGGAGAAGGAAGGAAGGAAATTGGGGACCCCTGCACCCACGTGAGGCATCAGCATCATCACTTATATCTGGGTCAGTCACATTCTTGGAGAAAATGCTCTGACCTGCAGCCAGACAACTCCTGCTGACTCAAACCCAGCACCCAACTTCAGACTGACCCTGGCCACACAGAACCCCATGACCCAAGAATCTGGGGCACAAGAAAGCTGGTGAAGGTGGTAACTCAGGGCAGACCATTTGTCAGCACAGAGGAAGCCCTCTGAGCCCAGCCCTACGCTCCGGAGACGGAGGCCTCAGAAAGGAAAGCACTGAGCTGCAGTGGATTTGGTAAGCTTGTCCAACACCCACCCCCTTTTCTCTCAGCCTCAGTCAGCAATGGAAGCCCCTTTCCCTGCCTCAGGGAAGGTAAATGACTGAGGTGCCTGAGGGAGGGCTGTGGGGCTCCAAGGGCTACAAACACCACCTAGAAGTTACCTGATTAGGCAGGGAGGACCCATCCCAGCAGGGAGGGGACACCTTGGGGCTAGAGGGAAGGCAAGGCACGGTCCGGTCCCTGGGACATTTCTAGGAACAGCCACACCTGAGGGTTCAGCTCGATGCCAAGACTGGCCTAGGGCCCCAGGAGGTGTTCCAGCCTGTGCCAGGCTCCAGACCACGGCTCCCTGCCAATGTGCTGGGACTCCCCTGCCCTCTCCCCCCAAACCTGTTAGAGCCAGAGAGCCAAGAGCAAAAGGGGAGCCCCAAGTACGGGTTACCTTCCATCAGCACCAGGATCACATCTCTCAGGATGGTCAAGGTTGTCCCCAAGACCAGGATGGAGAAGAGGAAGGTGCAGATGGGGTCTACATACTTGTACTCTGGCTACAGAGAGAGGGGAAGGCGGAGCTTGGGCTCATTGCTCAACACCTCGGCCTCCCTCTCCCTTCCCGCCCAGTGCTGCGTCAGAGAGAGGGGTGCTCTCATGTGGTCAGCACAATCCTCACCCTGTCTCTGCCTCCCAGTTCTCCACCTTTTATTCTGTGTCCAGAAGAATGGGCAGGACAGATCACAGCTCAGGGTAAGGCACGGTCCCTTCCTACCCCTCCTCGCCCAAGGCACTGAGCTGAGGACAGAACTAAAAGGAATCTTAGACGCCAGTGGTCCAACATCTCATTGTATAGATGGAAAAGTTGAAGATCAGTCAGAGCAAAGGACGACATCACACAGCTAGCAAAGGGTGGAGCCAGGCTTCAACCCCAACGCCTGGCTCTTTCCACTATGTCACTCGGCCACCATGTGATGGACAATGCCCGGGCATTGGCAGCACACTGGCCTGGGTTTGAATCTGGCTCCACAATTTCCCAGCTGTGTGACACCATCCAAGTCCCTGAACCTTTCCGAGCTGCTGAAACCACCACCACCTGCTCTCCAGGATTGCCGTGAAGATCAGAAGTGCTGACGCTTGGTAGGCATTTGGGTGAATGTTCCTTCCCTCTCCCCACACAGCTGGGAGGGAGCTAGAACCTGGAAAGGGCCATGTGTAGAGAGGAGCCTCCAGATGACCTACACTCCCCTGCCCACCCCAATCCCCCCGGCCCACCTCCCTCTGTCCCCAGCTCTGACCTTGAAGTATAAAATATAGGCTGCCACCAAGATGCCTAAGCTCTGCAGAAAATCTCCAACCACATGGATAAAGGCAGCTCGGACACTGGGGTTCTCCTGCTGTTGGCTTGTGTCGTGGCTGTGCCCGTGGCCACACTGGTGAAGAGTCAGCCCCATTCTGCGGAAGCAGAGACAAAGCCGAGGGGCTCGCTGCCCTAGCAGGTAGAGGCCACCCATAGGGCTGGCCTTCCTGTGGGACAAAAGTCCTCACCCCCAAGACTGCTCGGTCCCTTTGCCCGGTGGGGAGCCCGACCCACCTGGCCTTGGTTCAGAGCACCACAGGAGAATGGGCTCAGCTCCAGTGCCAGGCTGAACCCGGCCACAAAGATGCCAAATCTCGGAACAGGAGGACACCACCGAGGTCATCTAGTTCCCCCACCCGTGTCACAAATGGGGAAGTTGAGGCCCAGAGACGGAAGTGGCTTGCCCAAGACCACTGAGCAAGGTAGAGAAAGCCAAAGCAAGACCCCACGCTCCACACACCCTGCTTCTCACCGAGACTGACTTCAGGCACGCCAGCTTTGGAAAAGGACTTGGATTCTACCCTTAGGGATAGGTGCTCCTATAAGAACTAGACTCACCTTTCCCATTTCAGGTCTGAAGGCTTCCGGTGTATTCACTCACACATATGAGGGGAGGGGGCGGTGGTGGAGTTGACGCAGCCCCAGACTCAGAGCCTTCGGTGGCCCCTGCCTCGGCCTAGGGCTGCCAGAGCTCAGACCGCCGGGAAGTCCTGGTCCTGTGGCCTCTCCACCGCCTCCTTCCACTGAGAGCAGGCCTGCAGGTGTGTGTGTGTGAAAAGCAGGAGGGGGGAGGACTCACAGAGAAGCGAGGCCACACTCACATGATATTCACGGCCACAGCACAGCCCGATGTGATCAGCATGGTGCCCCCCTCGACCTCATAGTCCCCAGAGATCAGCCGCTCCACCGCCAGGAACACCAGCACGCCAGTCACGACCCAGATGGACAGTACGGAGAGCAGGGCTCCCAGGATCTCTGAGGAAGAAACCCAACCCCCCCACCACCAATCTTAGCATAGGGGGCCCTAAGCCTGAGGAGGCCTCCCCACCCCTCCACGATCCACCAGCCCCCTCCCTACAAAGTCAGGGCCTGGGTCCACCTGGGCTCTGCTAAAGGTATGGCTGGCATGGTTGAGCCTTACCTCACCGCTCATATGTCAGGGATGTCAGAGCTAGATGAAACTTAAGAAGTCATCTGGGTCCACCGTTTTTGTTTTACATGTAAAGAAACTGACTTACTAAAATATGTACCCATTGCTCATCTGGCAAACTGAGGCTTCTGAGGAGAAACTGGGCCATCTCCCACCAAGAGGAGAATGACAGTGCCACCCAGACATGAACTAAATGAGGTTTAAAGGCTCTATCTTCCAGAAGGCTTTGTTGACCTTTCCCTCCCCCAAGAGCTGATCCACGGAATTATGTGCAGAGTTAATGCCATGGTCATTTGTTCTGGAAGTCTGACCATTTCGTTTCTTAGGGAGGTGAGCTCTCCTTCCCTGCACACCAGAAGTTCCAAGAAGGACAGGGGATTAGAGCTCCCCCATCGGACTGGAAGCTACCAAAGGATAGAGCCCAAGACTGATGTCCCCAACCCAAGTCACCCTCTTGGCCTCGCTCAGGGTTCCACCCTATGGCAGCTACCAAAGAACCCACGTCTTGACCACCTTCCTCTTGCAACCCCAACCAGGGTCCTCACCAGCTCGCTGCCAGCCGAAGTTCATGGTCTTGGTGGCTGGACGGGAGGACATCCAGAGAGAGAAGAGGCTGATGAGCATGCTGGCAAAGTCAGTGAGCAAGTGGGCCGCGTCAGTCATGACTGCCAAGCTGTGTGCTAGATACCCGCCTGTAGGGGGAGGACCAAGGAGACAAGGGTCCTTATCAGCTCCCCCAAGAAGTCAGCTTCCCAGACTGCGTGTGCAGCAGGGAAACCATGGACTCTGGAGAAAGACCATGGATTTGGGACCTCTCTACCCATTAGCTATTGAACCATAGGCAAGGGACTGACTTTCTGAGCTTCAATTTTTAATCTGTGAAATGGGACTGACACGATCTATTTAGAGGAACTTGTGAAAATCAAGTTCAAACAAGGCCTGGAAAGCATAGTAGGCACTCAGTAAACGCTCTTTCCTTCTAGGCATTCAGGCCCTCCCTCACACACAAGTTGTGCATGATCTTGAGCAAATTACTGAACCCTAATGTGCCTCAGTTTCATTACCTGTAAAATAAGAATAATACCACCCACATGACAGTACGAAGTTGTGAGGACTGCATGAGATAATGTGTATATAAAAGACTCAGCATTATGAATGTTCAATAAATGGGGCTATTAGTATTTATTTTAATTAAGTAGGCTCCACACTCAATGTGGGGCTTGAACTCAAGACCCTGAGATCAAGGATTGCATGTTCTACCAACTGAGCCACCCAGGGTCCTGGGGCTATCAGTATTAATATTAGTAGGAACATTCTGGAGAAAAGCTTTTCAGATCGTCCACAGTATCCATGCACCCAATTTCATTTAATTAGCACAAAAGTTCTTACCAACGACTTCCCCAATCATGAAGAGCAGGCAGATGGCAGAGGCCAAATAAAGCTGTCGCCGGGCCTGCTCCTTCTTGGGGTCAAAGTGACTGCCAGGACCCTTCTGGGCATGACAGTAATGGCTGCTCTCAGTGGCTAGCTCAATGGCCTGCAAGTTCAGACCAGGTGCGGGCAAAGGGATCCAGCCAGCCCTCTCCTGCCACAGAGATCCGGTGTAAGACCTGGCCAGGGAGGAAAGGAGAGGGGAGACTCAGCTCTGAGACCGGGCAAGGAAGGCTGACTCCAGTCCTGTCTCTCTGTGGGGCCTTGTCGTTCCCATGCGTCCAGTTAAAAGAATAGTTAAGGACACTCCAAGCTGGACAGTCTCTGAGGAGTAACCAGAAACTCGTGTTTGGAGTGGGGTGCTGGGGCAACGACCAGTCCAGGAGTCTTGGGGTCTTGGTCCAGGGTGTTCCCTCCTCCCCCACCTCTCCCAGGCCCTGGAAGAGGTAAAGACCTTGGGAACTGGCCAAGGGGCGGGGCCAGTGCAGTCAAGCCCGGAGAAGGAACAGAGCTCAGGCTCGGGAGAAGGACAGACCCCCCTCTCGCGCACCTGGGGACACAGGGCCTCCCAGGGCGCGGCTGCCCCGGGGGCAAAGTGTCGGGCCGGAGAGGCGGGGCTCCAGGCTTGCCACCGCACACTAGCGGGCAAGGGGTCAGGATCTGTGCCCAGGCGCGAGGGAGGGATGATCTCGTGCCCGCGCTCGGTTTTCCGTCTTCCCCCTGCCCCCAATCCGTCGGTTCTATATGGTCCCGTTTTCAAGCCTCCCGCGAAACCATCCACTGTAAACGGCAAGCCAGGAGATGCGTCCGATGCCGCTCAAATCCCCGCTCCTCCCGGGGCTCTCGCCTTACCGGGCTCCGGGTCTGGCGTCCATCAGATGCTGCCTCTCCGTGGGCTCCATGCGGCCCCGCGCGCCCTGCGCCGGGTCCGGGAAGCCGCGCGCGGCCTCTGAGCCCGGGCCGTCCGGGAAGTTGCGCGCGGGACGCAGCGCAGCGCGCACCCACCTGCCGGGAGGGCCCCGCGCGCCGCCCGCGGCGCCCCTGCGCCCGCGCCTCTCGCCCGGCGCCTGCCTGGCGCCGCAGCTCCAGCCCGGGCAGCGCTGGGGCCGTCCCGCTGCCGCTCCGGCCGCTCCCGCCTGTCCGCGCCCCGCGCCCGCCCGCTTTATCCGGCCGCGGCCACCCCGTGTGAAGCGGCCCGCGGCGCGTCGTGTGCAAAAGGCCGCGGGGAAGGGGGAGGGGTGGCCGGCCGCAGAGAGCGCCCCGGCGCTGCCCCAGAGCACCCCGTCCCCGGCGCCCCTGGGGCCCGAGAAGCCGACAGGGCCGGACTCAGGACTGGGCGACGGCTGTGCGCACTCTTCCCCGCGCGCAGCTGGCCGCATTCCGCCGCAGGTTCTCGGACCTCGGTGTGTGAAAAATCCGCTGCGGGGTCCCCTGAGAGCAAGAACGGGGCTCCGGAGGCTTGGGGTGTCTTTCCCTGGGGCTGGAGACTCCCGCGGTCCGCCGCGTTCTTCCGCTTAGACCAGGGGTCTCCTGGGGGCGGGATATGCCTGCCCTGGGGGCTGGGACAGGAGCCCTTCCTAGGACTGGCTGTGACTGACTGATCGGCCCATCCTAGCCTCTGAAGCAGCGCCAGTTCCTGCCCTCCCGCGCGCCCCGATTACGATCTAGAGTGGCTTCGTCTCCACCCCTACGTAGAGCGCTGTGGCCCTTGGGCAGCGTTCACCATGTGCGCGGAGGGGACACCACCTCCACCCTCCCTTGCTGTCCTGCCTGAGAAGCGCCTTGTCTGCGGGCTTGGAGCCCCACCCACTTTAAGCGTGGTCCCCTCACAGGGGTTCCTGGGGGATCAGGACCATATATATGGCCTGCCCTTATGGCTGCTCCCTGATAGGGGCCCATTAGGTAGAAAGAACTTTGGACGGGTGACCTCGATGGCCAGTCACTCAGTCATCCCCAGTGCCTTCAGTCTAGGGGACCATGGCTTGGCTGTGTCCCTTCACAGAGACTAGAATCTAGGGTGCAAACCTCTTGCCCACGCCACTGGGAACAAGGAAGGGCTCCTTCAGTTTCTCCTCAACAAGAGTAACCTTATTTGGGGGCTAAGTGCAGGGAGTGAGGGTGGCAGCACTAGGCCTGCCTAGGTTGGGTCCCCACCGAGTGCCTTTCCACCTCCTCTGGAGTCTGAGTGAGAAAAACCTTTACCTTAGGCTTCCTAGTTTTCCTGGTATAGTCCCAGAACCAGCAGGCCCAGCACTACCTGGAAAAGGTGTTAAAACGCAGGTTTCAAACCCTGCGTCAAATCAGCTCAATCAGAATCTTATAACGTATTTGTTAGCAAAACGCTTATGCTGTAAAAAGCGTATTTTTAGGGGTGCCTGGGTGGCTCAGTTGGTTAAGTGTCAACTTCCTCTCAGGTCATGATCTCATGGTTCGTGGGTTCCAGCCCTGCATCCGGCTCTGTGCTGACAGCTAGCTCAGAGCCTAGAGCCTGCTTTGGATTCTGTATCTCCTTCTTTCTGCCCCTCCCCAGCTCATGCTCTCTCTCTCTCTCTCTCAAAAGGAAATAAGTAAACTTTAAAAAAAAGTTTTAAAAACACATATTTTTAAACATCCCTCTTGTTCCCTTCAGTGCAGAGCACACTGTAAATTTTCAGTAAATTGCAGATTTACAGATTGGACCCAGATGCATATATTCATTTTATTTAGAAAATTATGCTATATTTCCCTTTTTTTCCCCCTTATTTTTTATTTATTTTTTTAAGAGAGAGTGTGCACAGGGCAGAGGGAGAGAGAGAGAGAGACAGAAAAAGAGGGAGTGAGGGAGAGAGAGAGAAGGAGAGAGAGAGAGAGAGAGAGAGAGAGAGAGAGAGAATCTTAAGCAGGCTCCACACTCAGTGCTCAGAGCAGAGCCCAACTCAGGGCTTGATCCCAGGATTCTGGGATCATGACCTGAGCCGAAATCGAGTCAGATGCCCAATTGACTGAGCTGTCCAGGCTCCCTTGCCAGATTTCCTTTAAATTAAAACTTTTGACGATGCATTTTAATTGATTTGCCAAAGTTTGATCAGTCAAGACTTTGATATACTGAAAAAGCACTACGTCCACTTGTATTATATACCTGGCTCCAGACATCATCAAGAAGGCCTATGTGAATCACATAGCAGTTCTCAGATCTCAACCTGCAGATTTTGTTTCAAAAATATAGATTCCGAGGGTGCCTGGGTGGCTCAGTTGGTTAAATGTCTGACTTGGTCTCAGCTCAGGTCTCAAGCTCAGAATCATGAGCTCAAGCCCTGCGTTGGGCTCCATGCTAGGCGTGGAGCCTACTTAATTAAAAAAATAATAATAATAAAATATATATATATATATATATACACACACACATATATATACTGCTGCTGATGACACAGACCTTGCTTGGAGTTCTCTCCCTCTCTCTCTGCCCCTCCGACTGTTTGCACTGGCTCAAGTTCACTTGAGTGTGCTTGCACACTCTCTCTCTGTCTCAAAATAAATAAACTTTATATATATGTATGTATACCTATAAAGAGAACTGAGAACTGCTATGTATATACATATATACGCATATACATATATATCCATACACATATACATATATATGTGTGTGTGTATATATATATATATTTCCATGTTCCACAATGAGTCTGACTCCGTAGGTCTGGGGTGGGGGGAGGGATTTGGGAATCTATATGTTTAAAACCTCAATATTAGATGCTGCTGTGAAATTATTCATTTTTTATGGTAGAGTCATTTTGATTTTTAAAGAACCTTTATTTGAACTATTGAAGGATAAAATGATATGGTATCTGGGATTTGTCCCCGAATAATACCAATGTAGGGAGTGGGTAATGATAGAGAAGAAACAAATGTGTCAATAACTGTTGAAACTGACAGATGGATATGTTATACTATTCCCTCTACTTTTCCATGTTTGAAATTTTCCAGAATTAGAGGTCTAGGGAAAAATAAAGTTCTTCCAGTGGTTCTAACGCAGCAGCCTATGGAACCGTATTGAAGATTCATTGGAATAACCCCCATGAAGCCTGTTTCCTCTCTTACAGCAAGATCTTACAGGAATCTTGTGATCAAGACCCCTTCTTAACACCCTTAAGTGTTGTGGTTTGCAGAGATAAGCAGAGCGCTTTGTGTGGCAATGTAGAGATCTCATTTGCAATCAAGAGATACCTCCCTAGAATTTAAACTTTGACTACTAGCCTTGACTGCCTTCCCTCCTCTCTCTGATAAGTGACAAGATAGTGGACTGTTATGCCCGTTTCTCATGTTATCAGGAACCTGCAGAAGAAATCTGGAGGCAGAATGTGGACAGGTTGTAATACTGGTTTTTGAGATTTCGAAATGATGAAAACCTCTCTCTTTCTGGTTTCAAATTCCTTTGGTCTTTCATAGGAAGATACTTTAGGACTATAAAGAAAAAAAGGTATGTGACTATCAAAAAGACAGGATGGGGGCATCTGGGTGGCTCAGTTGATTGAACAACTGACTTTGGCTCAGGTCATGATTTCATGGTTCGTGAGTTCGAGCCCCGTGTACAGCTGTGTGCTGACAGCTTGGAGCTTGGAGCCTGGAGCCTGTTTCAGAATCTGTGTCTCCTCTCTCTCTCTCTGCCCCTCCCACACCTGCACTGTCTCTCTCTCTCTCTCTCTCTCTCTCTCTCTCAAAAATAAAGATTAAAAATTTAAAAAAAAGAAAAAAGACAGGATCGTGGCTACCTCTAAGGAGTGGGCCACTCGAGGGCTTCTAGGGGACGGCAGTGTTGTTTTTCTTGCCTTGAACAGTAGCAACACGGGATTTCATTACGGGATAGTTTATTAAACTCTACAGCTTATTTTGTTTAGTTGTGTGTAATATGTTATACCATTTGTCTAGAAGCTGCCTTTAGGCAAACAGGCTTCAGTGATGGAATGTAGAAAGGGCCATGGCAACCACCTGGCTAAGAGACAGGCCCATCAGGTGACCCACCTCAAAATATCCGTAGATCCTTACTGACCAATGAGCTACTTACAACTGGGCACAGCTACCAAAAAAGGGGAAGATTCCCTATGTTGCCATACCTCTTCACCTTCCCCCTTTAAAAACAGCCCCACCCACTGCCTCCTTGAAGACAGCCTCTCCTCTGCTCTCCTGGCCACCGCTTCCTGGCAGGTGTATTCAATAAACTTCTATCACCTTTGTTTCACCTCAGGTGAATTCTTGTCACCTTGTGGGCCACTGACTTCCACTCGATCAAACCCCACATTTGGGGGCCTTCATCTGATCAGGAAAGACACTCCATTTAGACACCACATTTGGTGGCTCATATGGGGAGACTCTGTGGTGCCCTCACACACATTTGGGGGAACCCTGCACAAGGAGCTTTTGCCAGTCTGGAACTCTCCCTGCATTCTCCAGGAATTTGTCAGGACTGTCCCTCGGTGCATCAACTCTGTCACTCCTTGGGGAACTGACGAACCTGGACAGAGGTTACTTCTCAGTGAGGATCCAAAGCCGGAAGAGGGAACCAGCTAGACTGCCCTTGCCCAAAAATGTGAGGAGTTTCCCTGTCAGCCCTCTGGAGGGACCCATCCTTCCCTTTCCTTTCGCTTTTTGGCCCTTATAGCCTAACCCCAGTACCTCCCAGACAACTGAAGGCCTCCAGTCAGGGTGACTTCCTGGTATGGTTGAAGGTGTGAGGGTGAACAGGTTGGACTGCCCGTGTTGGTAAAGGTGAAGGACCCCTTTCCAGTGCCTTCTCACCTTGTCCCCAAGGTCAGTCTCCAAAGTCCAGTGCAATTAGCTGCTCACCCAGGACTCCTTGGGAATCCGCACCCAGGAATCTGCACGCCGTATGGACTCTGTTGGGACTTTTCCTGGTGTAGGCTGA